TACTTGTTGATAATTCTGTCTGGCTTCAACAAAACGATCATACGTCCAAGAATCAATAATTGCATATTTATCAAACTTATTTCTTCCTTTTTTATTTCTTCTTCCCATTTGGATAGTATCTATAGACTGATAGTATCTTCATTCACAGACATTTTACTGTAAAATATTGAAACTATTTGTATTATGGAGTGATATATCACAGAACATTGTGATCTCTGTGAAATCCAAAAGTAAACTGACATGTTATCTCCAAATTTGTAAATTAATAAGAGTTAATAAGAGTAGTAACCTTCAAAAAATTTGATACAATAGAATAAGAAACAAAAACTGTTGTTTCATTAGTCCATTTATAATAAGGAACCTTCTTTGTATTCACCTTCTTTGTCAATAAAGTAACAACTGCTCTCTAGTACCCATATAAATTTTGTCAGATCAGAACCAGTTTTGCAGAGTTCAATAGAAAATTTTGTGTCTATTTTTATAGATTGTTGTAAAATTTGTAAATATATTTAACTATGTCAATGATAAAAATAATTATAATAACTAATTATTTATAANGCGTAATAATCAAGTAAATGTGAAAAATTGTAAAATAATATAGGCCTAATTTGTTATACATATGTATTATCTAAGATTTTATTAAACATTTTTTTCTAAATTATTGTTTTCTTTAGTCTCCAGCCCCAATTAAAAATTATTTGTATGTATTTACATGCGAAATTATACCCTGACTTACACGAATTCGACTTACGCAGTTACTGCTCGGTCCTACCTATCGTGTAAGTTCGGGGTATTACTGTACGTAGGTAGTTCTTAGTTAATGCAATAACATTATAAAACAGCAATGATATTAATTATTTTAATCCATATTTTAATAAATGATGTTAAAACAAATTGCATTAATTTAGATTAAGCAAGAACTATCTCTGTATTTCAAATTTATTCTAAATTAAAGAAGTTATTAAAACTGCCAACAAAAAATGATTTCCTGTCAAGAAATAAAAAATTCAAAAGTAATATAAGTTGAAATTTGAAGTGTTACAATAATTTTTTTTTTCGAGTCTGCGGGCACTAAAAAAGTTTTTTTTCATATGGATTGCCAAGGTTATAAAGATGTCAGTCTGCCACTTGGAGAGCTATAGATTAAAGTTCAGATCAGATTTTCATAAATTTTTTTGAATAATTTGATTTGGATATCTAGCTGATTGACTCCATTATGAACTTAGTTGAACCCCTAACAGGAATCAAAAAAGATCATTTTAATGCAAAATAGAAAAGAGTTATTAAAAAAAGAAAATATACAATTTGGCTTAGAAATATACACTCTTGTTTATAACTGTCTTGTACAATACATAATAATTATTAATAAAATTTTAAATATATTTTTTATTTTCAATGTTATTTTTCTTATTTTATAGTAATATTACATTTAGTTAATCTATAATTTATTCATTAAAAAATGTATTTATTGAGCAGTAATTTGAAAAAATTGTAGATCTATTAATTTCCACTGTCATTTCTCTGTTTGTCTGTCCTTCCTTAATCTGAAGAATTGTGTTATATAGATGAAAGTTGAAACCAGATATGGAAATATTAGGGGCAGGTGGTCCCAATTAACTACATATAAACTTCCAGTGTAGACTGGAAGTCACATGATTTCAATCAAAAAATTTTCTTCAGAACTGAATTAAATAGATGACTGGCATGATGCTGTCGTTATTAGGAAAAGTATGATGTACAGGAGCAAGACACTACTAATTTGAGATGAAGAGCATATACAGTATTTTAAATCAAATAAATTAAAAATATGCTTAAAAATTGCAACCCAGCATTGTGGCAATGTCACAATAATTTTTAAAGTATTAAAATAACTATTTACTTAAAGAAACTATTTTTCCATTAACTAGCACTTTAGAAGTTTGATAATCCAGCACCTGATAGTTCAGCACCTGAAGTAGGTCTTGGTGAAGGTCGAAAACGTTTGGTAGTTTGGTTCAAGTTCAGTTACAGGTTAAAAAAAGTTTTGTTTGTGGCGGTTCAATCCAGCACTTAAATTAATAATCTATGATAATCTGGCACCTTCTAAAATATAGCCAATAATCTGAAATTGTCCAATAATAATATGGTGTGTTAGTATTCTGCAAATTAAAATTTGTTTGGACACATGGTGCACTAAAGACTCTGGATGGAAATCATAGAAAAGATGGGATAGTTGTGCACATTGCTATGTGTTAGGAGATCATCATCTCAAGAACAGTTAAGAGAATCTCAAATTTCTATGCAGTGTAATTTGGTAAACTGTACTTACAAGGGGAGGGCACAACCTGGGAAATTCACTTCGAGATGAGACTTGATATATAGGTACTCCTTTAGGGTGTTCAACCCTCAAAACAAGAAAGTGCAATGGCCAGCCAATTTTGAGAAAANATTTCATAATTTTTTTGTGACCCCCATTTTTTTAATAATAATTTATATTTGTTAAATTATCTATAATAAATTGATATTTTATGAATCCATATTTGATATAATCACGATTGTATTTTCTAATTTTAATGTTACTTAATTTTATACCTTCAGTTTTAGGACTTCTGGTTTTTTTTTTCTGTTGCATTTTTCACTGTATCATCATTGGAACTTTCACTAGTATTTTCTTCACTGTATTTTCTTTTTGAAGGTCCTAGTCTGCGATTACTTGCATTAAAAAATTTTCTAATGTTCCTTTCTGTTTTTTGCTCATTTTTACGGATTAATTATAAATAATTAAAATTAAACACACAATATAAGAAAGAAATGCACTATTATTTGATCCAAAGTTGATGCTAAAACTAAAACACCAACAACTTGTCATAAAGATTTTGCATATCTTTTGCAAAAGCATTTAAATTTTCAAAGCCTACTACTAAGCCTACTATTTTTCCTAATTATTTTTAAAATTCCAAGCATTAATAGTTTCTTAGAATTACTTTGGAAGAAAAGAAGTAAATACTGCGGTGTAAGTAGCATACAAGGTCTGTTCAAAAAGTATCGGACCTTTTTTTTTTCCGCGTAAACCAATGATGCGCGACAGGCCTCCTTCGGTGGAGTTGTGGAGGGGACAGTCATGCACAACCCTGAATTTTTTCCCGCCTGCAGGAAGCGTCAGTCGTTGGCAATCGGCCTACGAGTGAGGTCATGTAGTGCGCTCTCGTCGGATTTCACTAAGCTGGAAAATGACTGAACAATGTGAGCAGCGATATTACATCAAATTTTGCCAAAAACCTTGGCGATACCCGAGCGTAAACCATTCGCAAGATTCAGCAGGCTTTCGGGGACGATCCTCGAGGCCAAAAAAAACGCGGCAGGTCCGCAGCAATGTCAAAGGTCATGTTGACAGTTTTTTCGACTTTCGTGGGATGGTGTGTTGTGAGTATGCACCACAAGGCCAAACCATCGCAAAGGAGTACTACCAGGAGGTCCTTCGTCGTCTTTCCGATGCTGTGCGACGCAAACGATCGGATCTGTGGTCGATCAAAACTTGGCAACGCCATCGTGATAACGCATCCGCCCATTCTGTGCATCTGATTCAGGCTTTCGTCGCCAAACATAACACTCCTGTGGTTCGTCACACTCCNAATTATAATAAAATTTTAATATTTATATATTAATAATACTTTAATAATATTAATAACATCTTCATAATTTATTAAAACAAACGTTCCCTCAGATAAATGTTTTAACTCATGTTGTAATCTATCATCGATTGATTGTAGAGGAGTGAAAGGTTGCTCATCTTCCATTTCCTCAGGTACCCATGTCATACTGTCGTCAGACTCCGCATAAGAAACCATTTCCAAGTTTATGTCATCACTTTAAGTGTCCTCATCTGATGTATCCTTCTTCCTTAAAGCTCACTGTGTAACTTTGCAACAGTCCCAAAGTTGTCCCTTATATGTAAGATTTTTCAATAAAGTATTTTTTATAACCAAATAATTATTTGGTTATAAAAAATGATTATAATAGATAATGATTATTTATTTCAAAATATTTACCTTTGTTTTCAATAGAAACTGTAGAGTTTTCTCAACGAATGATAGTTTCTGGAGCATGTGTTGATCAAACAAAACATAACCTAACTAAAAATGGTTGCCTAATAGGCAGGAAAACAAACAGAGCTTCTGGGCCTTCACACTACGTGGTAGCACAGTAGGAGCATTAGAATCAATAACAACAGTTTGTATATCATTGAAATGGCAGTGGCATTGACTTTAAATTCATTCTAAACAGTGATTGTCCTAAAGTTACTGTACTTGTCACAAAGTAACCCCAGTCTACAGTATATATAGATTATTGTAAACTCTCTCTCAGCAGAAGTAGCAACAGAGCTAAGTCATTAGGTCAGCATGCGAGCTGATTAGAAACTTTGTAAATCCCCTCCATAGGAGTATATATGTAACCTCATTTAACTTCATCTAACTTAGGCTTAGTTTTATGTATCATAGGTTTAGTAATATAATAAATTCTTGTTGTTGTCTGTTAAAAACCTGTCTCCTGTCACTCCAAGACACAGACACCTGTCGACTTTCCCAACCCCCTCGCCACTCGAAAAAAAGCCATCCCAAAGACAAAGTTGGTGAGTTTTACCAACTCGACGATTAGAGGGCTCTGTCCCCTCACCCGTATTCTCACATAATAAATTTTTAATTTCAACCTGTTTTTGGAACCTCACAATCCGGTACCACTTTAGTTCCATAAATATCAGATTAACTAACTTCTATTATAACTTGAAAAAGTAAAAATATTAGAACTAATTTACATCTGCCATGCAAAGATAAAAACACACTCAAACAACTTTGAAATGCTGTAATAACTAAACATCCAAAAACATTTCAGTTATTAAATTATTGCTGCATTTTAAGATTGTTTGAATGTGTTTGTAAAAATATTAGTTTGTTGGTTTTGAAATTTAAATATAACTTTTAGTGCTTTTTACTTAAAATTAATGTTAAATTTTATAATTTCAGATTTGCAGAAGATAATTTAAGTTTTTCAATAAATAAAGATGATACAACTTTAATTGGGAAAACTTTAGATGAAGAATATGACTTACTTAGAAAAATTGGCTTGAAAGAAGTTCACTTTACACGAGCTGTAAGTTTAATAATTACTTAAATATTATTAATATACAATACTATATGTAAGTATGAGATTTATATAATTAATCTCATATTTTCTGCTTAAAACATCTTCATTGATGTTATTTTAATCACAGTTATCAGTATACATTTATAAATGCATATTGATATCTGATTGTGTGTGTACTATGCTAGCCACAGACAGCCAGATGGACAAGATAGTAAAAGACTCAGTCTATTATTTTAGGGAAACTGATTTGAAGTCCAGGTCCAGATATGTTGGTTTATCCCTCACCACTAACACCCCATTGAGGGCAGGTTATATGGTGAATGTAAGAAAGTTCCATTTATTGTCTACAGCAGTGGTTCTTAACCTTTTTATACTCGCAGCCCACCAAATATTTCATAATTTTTTTGTGACCCCCATTTTTTTAATAATAATTTATATTTGTTAAATTATCTATAATAAATTGATATTTTATGAATCCATATTTGATATAATCACGATTGTATTTTCTAATTTTAATGTTACTTAATTTTATACCTTCAGTTTTAGGACTTCTGGTTTTTTTTTTTCTGTTGCATTTTTCACTGTATCATCATTGGAACTTTCACTAGTATTTTCTTCACTGTATTTTCTTTTTGAAGGTCCTAGTCTGCGATTACTTGCATTAAAAAATTTTCTAATGTTCCTTTCTGTTTTTTGCTCATTTTTACGGATTAATTATAAATAATTAAAATTAAACACACAATATAAGAAAGAAATGCACTATTATTTGATCCAAAGTTGATGCTAAAACTAAAACACCAACAACTTGTCATAAAGATTTTGCATATCTTTTGCAAAAGCATTTAAATTTTCAAAGCCTACTACTAAGCCTACTATTTTTCCTAATTATTTTTAAAATTCCAAGCATTAATAGTTTCTTAGAATTACTTTGGAAGAAAAGAAGTAAATACTGCGGTGTAAGTAGCATACAAGGTCTGTTCAAAAAGTATCGGACCTTTTTTTTTTCCGCGTAAACCAATGATGCGCGACAGGCCTCCTTCGGTGGAGTTGTGGAGGGGACAGTCATGCACAACCCTGAATTTTTTCCCGCCTGCAGGAAGCGTCAGTCGTTGGCAATCGGCCTACGAGTGAGGTCATGTAGTGCGCTCTCGTCGGATTTCACTAAGCTGGAAAATGACTGAACAATGTGAGCAGCGATATTACATCAAATTTTGCCAAAAACCTTGGCGATACCCGAGCGTAAACCATTCGCAAGATTCAGCAGGCTTTCGGGGACGATCCTCGAGGCCAAAAAAAACGCGGCAGGTCCGCAGCAATGTCAAAGGTCATGTTGACAGTTTTTTCGACTTTCGTGGGATGGTGTGTTGTGAGTATGCACCACAAGGCCAAACCATCGCAAAGGAGTACTACCAGGAGGTCCTTCGTCGTCTTTCCGATGCTGTGCGACGCAAACGATCGGATCTGTGGTCGATCAAAACTTGGCAACGCCATCGTGATAACGCATCCGCCCATTCTGCGCATCTGATTCGGGCTTTCGTCGCCAAACACAATACTCCTGTGGTTCGTCACGCTCCGTACTCTCTCCACATGGCTCCGTGTGACCTTTGGCTATTTCCCAAGCTGAAAATGCCGCTAAAAGAAACCCGAATTTAGTCGAGAGAAGACATCGTGCAGAATCCGACGGACCGGCTGATGGCCATTCCAAAAGATGCGTTCCAGCAGTGTTTCCAGCAATGGCAGGAACGCTGGGAGAAGTGTATACATTACCAAGGAGACTACTTTGAAGGGAATTAGGGTTTTGTACCTCAAAGTCAATAAATTTATTTTTGCCGACCAAAGGTCCGATACTTTTTGAACAGACCTTGTATTTGCATTTATTTCTTCTGTACTTTTTTTTAAATGCTTTTTCCGCCCTGTGGGCACTAAGAGGGCCTCTTCTTGCAAGCTCATTATGGGTTTGGCCAGGCCCACAATGGAGCTGCCAGGTGGTGAGGAATGGGGCCTGACATATCTGAATGGACCACCCCCCAAAAAATTCCTGGGGATTTTTCGACCCATTCGGATTCGAGCCCGGGTCCCCAGAGCAGTAGGCTGCCACCTTGACCACTCGGCCATCCAGCCACATTTCTTCTGTACTAACAAAGTTGTATGTAGGAAAAATAAGAAATAAATAAAAATAAATAAATATGAAAACTTTATCTTTCTTATTTCACTTTTCAATATGATATTTGGTTATACATCAATTTTCTTTTTATTACATTCTGAAGGAAATTTTGCATAATTGGCGGCCCCTGTAAACTTCTTATGACCCCCAGGGGACCGCGGCCCCCCTGTTAAGAAACACTGGTCTACGGGATGAAAAGAGTTCAAATATCTTTGCTGAGAATATAGTTTCATACAGGAAGCATTTATACATGGTCTTCCAAAAAAGAATTCTACCATTTTAAATTACTGTAATTATGTTAATTATTACATGAGAAGTATGTGTTGTAACCAATCAATAGAGTAATTGTTCCAGTTTCATCTACCATCTGCATTAAAACATCTTTTTGTCTACTGCTTCTAAGAAGCACCTAAAATAAAAATGACAACTTTACAACAGAAGACATTTTGTGTTCTGTAATCCACAAGATAGAATTACTTATTGTTCTGCAAAAGAATGTTTGTCTTAAATGTTGGATAACTTCAAAATTGGCTACAAAACTCAAAAAAATCATTGAAAATCATGTTACACAGCAATCATTTTTTATGTTAAGGTTAAGGAAATTTTGCAAATAGAAACTATAATTAACTAATAAACTGTCAGAATACATTTGTATTTATTAATTTTAAGCCTGCTTATTAGTTTTTTTAAAAGTTTTTCTTGTTATGACATCCCACAGATTGTCAATAATCAATATGTATTTGTGGCAGGATTCTGGAAATTCTTTACTTGTCAGAACCTGTAATATCTCAAATAATTGTGCCAATGCTGTCTTAATTTTAACTATGCCCAGTAACTTCAATAACTGCATTATGCCAGGTTGTACAATTTAGGAAAGGATACAAATGAATACAAAGTCTGCAAGTATGAAGTTTTTCTTCATAAACCTGATTATTAAAGCTAAACCAACTGCCAAAATATTGGGTTATAAGCTTGATACCGCTATTAAAGCAGCTGAGGTAGACAAATCAAGAATACTAGAGAGCAAAAGAAGTACTGCAATGCATCTCAAAAATAAACTCGAAATATTGTGGGTGAAAAAAAACATAACATTTGTCTTCTCTTAAATGCATTAATTAAAGACAATTCCACCCACATCCATTGAATTGGAAAGGGCATTTTCAGTAGCGGGACTTTTCATTATTAAAATAATAATCAGATTGAGTAATCGGAGTATTGATCATTTTTGGTTTTCAAAATCTTATAAAAATTTACAATAATACTTTGTATTATGCTTTATTTAAAAAACGAAAATTACCTTCTAAGATAGAAGTTAAAGCTTCTATCTTAAAAAACGAAAATTACCTTCTAAGATAGAAGTTAAAGTTCATTTTTTTCTTTAAATTTTCAACTTAATTCAAAGGCATTTTTGTTGTAAGCAGTTTCCAGCAAACTTTAATAAACTTTTCTATTTGTGAAAATTTCTACTTAATTCAAAGATAATTGTAATATATACAGTATTTTACACTGCATTATTAATATTATGATTTTGGAGGTTGCAGGACGTATTAAGTTACTTAAAAATGAAAAGTAATTAATTATATCCCAGGATCCTGGGAAACAGTTCACTTTTTTCCCAGAATCCCGAGACAAGCAAAAGTCCAGGAAACGAGAAACCCTAGGTGTAATAAGTGGTTGATTTTACACAATCATTACTAGTTTTCAAATATACCACAATCATTCAAAGCAGTTGTTAAGACCAGTACATTGAATATCATCTTAATCACAGTTTCCTCATAGTACAGTACAGTACAAAGTAACAAAGGCCACCAATATAAAAATTGTTAACATTTGTTACTTTACACTCAGAATGAATTACTAGTAATTAATAATAATAGTTATATTCCTTGGATTGTCTACTTAGAACAAATGTCTAATGATCAATGGTTATCTTATATTTATTTATTTAACAAACTATTATACAATGGCCAAAAATGTGTTTTGAGATTAGTTAAATAATAATTATAATAAACGAATCACTTAAGTTTTTTATTTGTTTTAATGATGGAGTTAATAAAATCAAAACTTGCACTAATTATAGTCTTATTTACTTATTACTATTTAATGTTATCAGTTGGTTATTATTTTCAATATAAGCATGTCTCAAAGTGATGTGATAAGTGGATTTTGCTGAATTTGACAAATATTACTATATCTGAGTTGAAAACTTTAATTAAAATATCTATTTGATAATTTAGTTACTGTGGAAGAAAAGATTGATTAAAGCAAAACTTTAACTCACAACTTCTTGAATTAATGAGTTGACTCAAATTTAAACTAATTCTAGAAGAATAATTCTAAAATTAATGTAATGGTTAATATTAGATGATGATGGTGGCCTAATTGCCTATTTTTAGTTCAAATTATTTAGTTTAATGATTAAAGTTTATCTGAAACAGGGCCAGATTAACCCACTTTGGGGTCCCAGATATTTCCTTCTTACCAGGCCCCCTCTCTCTCTCACAAGAAATAGAGCACACAAAAAAATGTAAAACAATAAATAAAACAAAACTAAATAATGTGGAAAACTAAAAACAAATCTTAAATTTTTATTAATAAAACTATTTAATACACAACAATAAATTTTAGTTTTTCTAGAAAAGTTTGAACAGTTTGTTTATAAATTTTAAATAAATATTTTTTAATTAAAGTTTTAACTTACCGCTCGAAGGAATAATTAAAAAAGACACGAAAGAGCCTATTAAAAGTAAACATCCTGAAGTCATAAAGGGTGTAGCGTATCCGCCAATCTAGAATTAAAAGAAATTTGTAAAACAACCGTTTTTTTTTTTCTTTGTTATTATGCAAATTTATTAATGATTTACCTGATACAAAGCACCACCAATAGTGGGACCAATGATCATACCAAAACCAAATATTGTTTCTAGAAGAGACTAAAAATCGAAATAAATCTTACTTTTAAAGATGACGTTTATAAGGATTATAAGACGAATAATAGATTAAATATTTACCACAATGATGGCTCTTTTATCTGAGAAATTCATAGCAACAATTGTATAACTGGCAGTAAAATATAAACTCCATCCCATGGCATCAAACATTCGGATGAGGAATGCTAAGGTTATAAATGTCTTACCGGGAGGCGACCACTCTAGAGTTCTGTGTAAAATATGCATCATTTAATTATTTTACACAGTAGAAATTACATTAGAGTAAAATTATTTAATACGTGGTTACGTACCCAAACAAAACATTAGCATAACCAGATAAGAATATCCCCCCATAGGCTAATAAATTAGGTGTTATGTGTGAAGTCTGAAATAAAATATATTGTAATTCGTAGTTCTATTTGTGTATTATATTCCTTATATCCAATAATACAATGTATTAAATCTATTACATTTTAAAATATATCTTTACCATTTTTCCACAAATAGGCGAGATGATAAATACAATAACTTGATAGAAACCCATAATCAGCCCATAAATAGTAGGGGATGCGCCTTTGTTCTCAGCCTGAAAATAGTACAGTTGTAATTTCTGTTATGTAGAACAATTCGTAAGAATGATGAAAATTAAATAAATACTTACTTCTTTGGGAAAAAAAGGAGCTAATAATGAGTAACAAGCTCCCATGGTAAAATTGCAACATCCAAATGCAATTAACAAAAATAATTGTTTGCGTGAGGTCTCCTTAATTATATCACATATACCTTTCTTAGGTGGCTGTTCGTACTGTGGATTTTCATCACTTGTGATACTTACGCTTGCTTGCTCACTCATCTTTTTAAAGGCAAACTGTAAAATTTTATTATTTACAGACGGTTTTTCTTTTTAGTAGAAAACACAATTAAATTCGTTCGAAGTAAACCACGATTTAATTCACAAGGAAAGGCTCAGAAAAGTGTCTTATGGATTTCGACGAGCAGCTGTGTTTTGCGCCCACCAAAAGATTTTGTTTTCTTTCGTTTACAATTCTATTATTTTCTATTTTTCATTATAAACTATAATGATTTTCGAGTTAATATGTGATTAGAAAAATATAGAATTATTATATATAGTTCTCATTTTCCAAAATTCTCTCTGGCAAAAATTTTACACTAATATATTGATGGATGATAGTTGTCATACAAGCATGCAAAGCGCATTGTTTTCTTACAGCATATGCACCGAATAAACGTAGGGATTATCCATATTTAAAAAGCTATGAAAAATTATACAGTGATTTACCTGATTGTCATAAATTGAAATTTAAACCAACAAGTAGAAAAATTTTAGAGATAAATTAATTTAATTCCAATAAGTAAAATGGCAATATGGCAAAAGACGTTTCACTACATCAGTTTACAGTTATGATATACAGCAGCTATTTTACTGTATTTTTTTTTATATCTAGGCACCACACTTGTGTGTATTATATTACGATTATGTGATAATAAAATTTATTATTATTATTTCCAGTAAATAGACGCATTGTTTTAATAATAATAAATTTCATTAAATATTTGTATATTTGGCTGTTTAATTAATTTTCAGTTTGTTTAGATAATGTTAATCTTTACTATTTGTGGAGTATTTAAAATAAGTTCTATTTGTTTACCGTTTTAAATAAAGATTAAACGAAATGTCTTTTTTTCTTAATTTATATCAGTAATTATCTAAGAATAAAAATGTAAATAAATTTGTAATTTTACATATGTATTACAATTAGGAAAACCATAGCTTATCTACTGATACATTTAAATAGACATAGAAATTTAATCCGGATAAAGACAAGCTATTTTTTAAACTAATTTATTAACTTTAATACTACATAAAGTATGTTATACAATTTTATTCGATTCGGTATATTGAGAAATAGTATATGGGATTAAATAATTTTGTATTTTTGACATGCGAAATTAATTTCTTCTGACACTCACATTGGCTCTACATACTTTGATAATTTATATAATATTCTGCACTATCAAAAGTAAAATATGAATGAAGGCCTACTACACTTGTCCTTTGTTTATATAGGCATAAAACATCAGTAACATGTCTTTCTTTTAGACTCCATGTCATCACTAATTATTATCATTGTCAATATCTAATAATACTGTCTGAACTCTTGCCATCTTACATTTACCTATTTTATTTGTCAATCTTTAACTTATCATCCTCTACTCACCTCTAAGTCATTATGTGCCTGTAAATATGTTGAATATGTTGTCTAAATAGTTGGAATTTCCACTTTTATAACTCATCCTGAAGTCTAATTCCCTCTTTTTCCTCTAACAGTCCATATCTAAAATCCAAGAACTAAATCTACTGACTTTTAATCTCTCTCTCTAACGTGTTCCTAACTTCTTTTGGTTCAACTTTAATCTCTCTCTATCTCATTTATAAACATAATATCAATTGTGAATAACATATACCATAGCTTCTTTCTCACTGCAAACTATAATAACTCACCTAATATTAATAACTAAAAAAAGTTATTGACTTAATCTTGATATACTCCAAAGCCATCCTAAATCTCCTTTTTTGTAACATTTTAAATCTATCTTAAGCACATGTTTAATTAAATGTATATAATTCTCGACTCCTTTTCTTCCCGATTCAGAATTCTCGGAAATCTCGAAGTCATTTTGTATTAATTAATAAAGTTTATACAGTCTTAACAGTCTTATTATAATAGTATTTATAAGTAATCCTTTAAAAAACACAGATGCGAAAATTCATCGAACTCCGTGAAATACAATTCTAAGCTTCTCCTTGTTATTCCTCTGGGGGTTCACTATACAAAAAGTCCATTGTATTGTATAAATGTGGTGTCTTATTTTTCATCAGAGAAAGTGGAACCCCGCATTTTCCACTTTCAAGTAATTGTATTCAATGATAGAAGACAAATAAGAATGATTTTTCAGTCAACATAATAGAATAAAATCATATACAATGAACTCGATATAGTGAATGATCTAATTCAGCATTATCAAAGTTCATTATATCGAGACACACACAACTATAGCTTCGGACCAATTATATAGGATGAATGACCAATGAACTCCCAATTATACAGTGGATTCTTGATATAGTGAACGATTTAGCTCAGTCCTTTGAACGTTCACTATGTCGAGAGTCCACTATTAATAAATAACAATAAATTAGTAAAAGGATATAAAGCCTTACAGATATACTGTATAAACTAATTTAAAATACCCCAAACTATAAGGCAATTTACCTTTAAACATGCATCTAAAACATAATAACTTATCCATAAGAGATATGTTACGTACCTATTTATTATTCCAGAAACAAAAATAAGCATCTTCTCTATTAATATAAATTAGTTAGTTCAAACGTCATGGTGATGATGATAAGAGATATAATTACATTATCTTGATTATTACGCCGTTAAGATTAAAATTAAATTGCTAATACTTTATATCAGTTAGTAAATCTATTTCTCAGTTGACGTAATTGATACAAATAAAACTACACCTTATTATATAAAAAACAATGCTATATTTTCTATTATTATTGAAATATTTAAGTGCTACACTCTCAATTACACAGTGAAATTCCGTTGTATAGATCATTACTGATATTTATTTGGGTATATCTTGCCAAGGTTTTATTTATTGATTTTATTTTCTTCAATATTAACTTCAAAATGGCTATTACGATTGTCTGATATTACACATATAAATTGATAGAAAATAAAATTTATTTTAGAATAATTTATAATGCATCTGCAACAGGGAGAAATCATCGGTTTACACACAGCTATTATAAAAGACCCTAAAGGTCTTCTTAATTGCGGCTTTAATATTCTCGATTATTATGAAATAAGTTATATATTTAACATTGTTAAAATCAACAATAATCAACCGATACTTTTATTTGATAATATCGAAATAACAATCAAGATGGCGGGTAAGAAAGTAAAGAGGAGTAACAGAAGAGGTACAAAGAGAACTCGTTCAGATCTTCTAGGCAAATCTGCTCCAGATTTTTGTGGCACTGCCGTAATCAATGGAAGAGTAAATGAAATCAAGCTTTCAAATTATAAAGGAAGATATTTGATTCTCATTTTCTATCCCATGGATTTCTCTTACGTTTGTCCAACGGAGATCATCGCTTTCAACGAAAGATTACCCGAATTTAAATGCATAAATTGCGAAGTAGTGGCATGTTCTACCGATAGTTATCTAAGTCATTGCGCCTGGTTATCTAAAGATCGAGAACACGGTGGAGTTGGACAAATAGACTTTCCCTTATTGGCTGACAAAAACTGTCGTATTGCCAGAGAATTTGGGGTGTTAAACGAAGCCGAAGGGATCGCTTCTAGAGCTCTATTCATTATAGACGGTAAAGGAAGAATTCGTCAATCTATTATCAATGATATGAGCGTAGGGAGAAGCGTAAACGAAACATTAAAATCAGTTCGAGCTTTTCAACAGTTTGATAGAAATGGTGAAGAATGCCTATTGGATTCGGAATTAGTCGAACCGAACTCCAAGAAAAAACGAGAATGAATGATAGACATTTAATTAGGCAGATTGAAAGATAGCAATGTTAGAGTAAAAATTCTACAATAAATTTTCTTTTTTGAATAATTTTAAATCAAATAATAAAATAAAATCTAATTGAAATTGTATAAAATTGTTATGTGAATTCTTATTATTAATATCTCTTAACAAAGTACATTTCTCAACATTTCAAGGTGTCCTGAGTTCAAAAATGTCTTCTGGGAGTCGTCATTTTTTGACTGATCGCCATATTCTCTCTTTATTACATATTAAATATAACGGCGGAAAAGATATTAAAAAAATACATACGAACATATGATTTTACAGCGTAAGATGTCATTTATTCGGAGTTTTATTTAACTAATCAATAGTTTCGTGTTATTTAATACACGTTAATGGGGAGAAAAACTCGTATTTTGCAATTCATGTGAAAAGATACGATATTAAATTCTGCTGGCACAGAAATACTTTGTAAAATTCCTCTTACTCTTTACACACAGGCCTAATCATGTACAAAACACATCATTTTAACTTGCAATAAATTTATTAAGATGAAAGTTTAGTACAGAAGCACATAGTAATATTTAGAAGCGCGCCACAATCAATTTCTTAAAATACATGTGTTTTGACTATTATAAAGGATTGATTAAGATACAAATTTTATCATAAAGGTAAGGAATTCCATGAAAAAATCAACGACCGTAAGAACAAATACATTGTCTAGCTCTAGTACATCTTCCTCCAAAACCGCTACAAAATCTTCTACATTCGCGATGGCTTCTACAACGACGGGGTGCAAACGAAGCATCGTTGCTAATAACTGTAAACATAAAACATTATATTTATTTGAAAATCAATAATAAAATAAAGTTTTCTTCATATTAATAATCATTGCCAATTTTCAAGGTGTCCCGAGTTCAAAAAATGTATTAGAAATAATTACTTTTATGATAATTTTCAGTCGTCAAAAATTATCTACGGAATTTTACAATAAATTAAATCAAAACATGAAAATAAATGAAGCACTTACTTAGATTAGCACTCATGATAATGAAAGCAATTAAAATGAATACGGGAAGAGACTTCATCTTGTTTTACTTGTAATTTTACTGATGATTACAAATTAATGTTATAGACAGAATGCTTTATATATTGAACGTCTCGTCCTCTTGCAAGATTTAACGGAAATTCCCCTTCCGAATTCTTTTAAATCTTATCTTGATTTAAAATCTTCCGGGTATCAAGGGTTTTATCTAGAACTTTATCAAAAAAGTATAACAAATATTTAAAATATAATTAATACAATTATAAATTAAATAGATATTTATCAATAGTGTTATAGGGTATCTACTGTACCAGTATACCGCAATGTACAGTATTGTCTTTAATAACTTATCCACTATAATAATATACAGTAATGCAAAATACTTCCGGTTATCGAAAACACTCGTTAATTATGTCTTTTTATTGTTAAGACATTTAAAATTACGGTTTCTAGAAATTTATTCGAGTTATCGGGAATTTGCTGTAATTTTAAAATATAATATTAAAATAATGAAATAAAAATATGATTTTAAATTGTGAAAGACTTCTGATAATCAAAGTACCTCGCCTTTTAACGTGGCGCAATCCACAGTAGACAAGGAAGGAACTCTCGGAAACAAATGAATTTACTCTTACAAATACAGCTGTATTTAAAGTGAATCGATGTATTTTTACGCAATAATTAATAAACACTTCAAAATTTATTATAAACTTTTTAATGATTAAGATAAATTTTTAAAAAAACATTTAAAATTTGTTTAAATTCGATTGGTTATTTGAAGAAAATTTTAATTCGTAAAATCTTACTCTCATATATTTTCACTGCTTTTTTAGCTTTATTACTTGTATTTGGTTATAAAAATTGAATGTTATTCGTCGGTTTTTAACAATTTATTTCTGTAATTTTTCTTCGTTTACAGTTTTTGGGAGTCCTCTACGTTTTGTATCCTTTAGTTCAAAATTTGCCGTGTGTTTGTGTGTTGGTGTCTATTTTGTTTAATATTTCAGAATGGGATGAAGATTAAGTAATAAAATTTGGCACGGTAGCTTGTGTATAAGAGGCATTAATGCTATAAAATTTTAGTGGTTAAAGGTCAAGGGGATGAGGAGATAGAAAAGGGTCATGTTACATATTTCGAGTGGGATTGAACTTAATGAAGATTTTTCTTGTTATTAGAATGAAGATTTTCTTGTTATTAGAAGGTAGAAGGTAAATTATTTTATGTTTCTTCAATATTTGCATCTTCTTGGAGCAGAAGAAGTATAACAAATGCTTCAAGTGTCATGTAATTACTTTTGGAATAAGTAGAGACTTTAAGGCCGTAGTGCCGGCCTTAATTTTAGAGTGCCGGATTTAGCCGAGTACCAACATACTTCATAATTGCCAGTACACTAACTGCTAAAGTAATATATGCAAATTAGTCATTTATAGTTCATTATCATCTTTTAGTTTGAATGCTCTTCGTGAATGCCACGAATATCGTCTTAATTAGAGTTACATAATGGCATAAGACAGAACACAATTAATTATTATTTTTATAATAATTAATAATATTAAAGTAATTTTTAAACAAAATCACGTAAGAGATGGCGCTAAAGACAATATTTATTTTATGCTAATATGCCTTAGTGTTTTTCTTCGGGAAAGTTACTCAAGTCGTTGCTACATTTTTAAATTTAAACTTGAGTATATTATTCGGGATTTCTGACGCTTTTTTTTCGTTTGTTGATCTTTGTTAAGAATCAGAAACATTTTGAGACTTGCAAGTATCATAAATACACACGTGTCCAAAACTTCAGAATGCTAACACGAATGGCGAGAACTGTGAATGAATGCAGACAAATATGGCGAGAATTGTATTATTCGACGTCGGACACAGATTAATACAAAACAACTTATATGATTTTACAAATCAAAGCAATAAAAGTAAGTCTTTCGAGAAAAAGATTCTGCAGTTGGGCATAGATGGAGAATGAGGTTACTATATTGCAGTATTTTTGTTTCTAAAGTTATTGCGGCGACGGTATGTAGTTTGCAGCGATTATGGGGGTCTAATTCTTTCTCGCTTAGGTTTGTATGTAGAGATGAACCTTAATCATTCGACTGGTTGATCTAGCCCAGGGCTTATTAAACTATGGGTCGTGACCCCATTTGGGATAGCTTAGCGAAATCTTGGGATCTCCAGATTTTAATGCAAAATATTGAAAATAATTTGTGAGATTTTGAAAATGGCACGCATTGTGTCACTTCTGGTGCAGCGAGACAACGATTTAGCAATACTGTAGTGTGAACTATAGTAGTGTTGTTGCTTTTCAATGTATTCAGTTGTCTCTGTTCCATTGTAACACAATAGTGAACTGTGGTAGTACACCATTATTGTTTTTGCAAATTTGTATATATCTTTTATTTTATATTTTTTGGGTCTCGAAAAAAATTCACAATTATAAATGGGGTCGTGAATAAAAAAGTTTAAGAAGCCCTGATCTAGCCGAATCCACAATGGAACTTGCTAAAATGTCCCTCTTTGTACCCTCAGGGCGATGGAGTTTAAAACATACTATTCGATTGGAGAATCCACGATCGGCAGCTAAAAATTTTATGCTTTCCAACTACAGTACTTGTATAATTCTAAAACGGAGGACGATTTCACATGTTATTATTTTAATACAGGATTCGGTCAACCCTTGTGATTTTTAGCTACAGTATACATGAGGTCATAAAATACAAAATAATAAATTTTAAAGCATAAAATCCTAAATGGGCAGAATGGCAGCGGCGGCTTACTTCGGCATGTCATTCTGGGGATCGGGAATTCTGTTCGGCCTACAACTACTTGGATTTTCCACGAATACTGGCAATATCCGGAACTTCAACTGAGGATGAGGTTGCTTCTTCCTCAGGATTCTGCGTTGTATTTTGGCTGCTGGACACAGTTGAAGAAGTCGCGATGACCTCGTGGATTATCAAGTGTGCAGAGAGCCGGATAGATCGACAATTATGACTTCTGTTCTGGATGATTCCCCACAACACAAGATACTAAATTGTATCTTTATAGTAAAAATCTTTTAGTTGTAGATTGCTTATTTGTTTGTAAATTTGGTCCCGATTTTAATATAAATTGAGTTTAAATTCGTATCTCGTTAAATGTTAGGTTTATTTTTTGAAAACAAAAAAAAAAAAGAAAGAATAAGTTTGGATCATTTAAATGAACGAAATGTTTGCTCTTAAGTTTGCTTTTTGAAAAGGTGAAGCTATATTTAATTTATATTTAATTTACGACTAATCCATCTTTCACTAAAATTGTCATCCAGATATTCTCTAAATACGAGACTCAATTGAGTTTCCCAATGTAGAGATTTGGGTTCGTTTCATAAATGGCATGATTACAATGAGACATCAAACACATAAAAATTGAGAATAATTTTTAAAACGAAAATACAAGTTGACCCCCCCTATAACACTGTTGATAATTCCGTGTTATACGAATTCCATATTGTACGAATTTCTTAGATTTTACAAATACGTGAGCTGTTCACAGCATGGCACATGTATTTGTAAAATCTAAGTGACTCGTACAACATGGAATTCATATAAAACGGAATTATCAACAGTGTTATAGGGAGGTCAACTGGTATAACTTGAAAATGACAAAAGATGATAAATTATAAAAACGAATTAATATCATAAAAATTTTTATTTTTCTCTATTTACATTCAATTTTATTCTTTTAATAAAAATATTTCTTCACCAGTTTTATGTCGAAACTTCTTCCATATTGCAAAAGTTCCAACAATGATACCCTAAAATTAAATATTTAAACTTATTACAAATCTTTTAAAAAAATATAGTACAATTTATATAATTTAATTTCTAAAAAATTTAAATATGCATTACTTACAATTCCAAGTTCTATACCAGCCACATAAACTGTTGCATATTTATACCCCACATGATCTAATAAAAATCCACCTAATGACGGCCCGATAAAAGAACTGCGAAAGGTTAAGGTTAAATATTAGTAACGTAACTTTAATAAAAGATTTCTTGTTTATTAAGAATTTAAAATAGTTTACCCAAGTGAACAAGCGGATGTAAGTGTACCAAAGACTATACTGTACGTAGAAACATCATCCGGCAAGCCTGTTTCTCTAAACCAACAAAATTCTACGGTAAAACATCCTTTATAATTTTGTATTAAAAACTTTAAAAATAAATAAAAACAATAGAAATTACAATATGCAAACTTACATTGCTTCTATCATTGCATGCAAGAAAGCACAGATTAATTTTCCTCCCATTCCTAATCCTAGAAACACTTGAGCAACAATAACTAACCATAATGTTCTGTATTTAAATTATTAAAATTTACAGTATATAAATGCATATTATTTTTCCTTAATAAATAATATTTATAATTACAAACTTACGTTGGTAATGGTATGAATGGTACAGGTCCGATGAATAAAAATCCTATCATGGATAAAAATATACCAACTGCACATAAAATTTGTACGTGTCCCTAAAATTATAATAAGAGTTTATTGTATATATTTAAAATTTTAAGTGTTTCAATACAATAATTTAAATAAGCCTACTATTGTGTCGCATAAATAACCCCAAATTGGAGATCCAAGGGCATAGATACCTCCTAAAATAATAAAAACCGTTCCTAATAATACAGGTGATAAACCAAACTGAAAAATGATATTAATCATTGAAATATTTCCTGAAATAAAAAATAAATTTATGTAAATTTTCTTCTTTTTTTAAAACATACTTCTCTTAGATGAGGTTCTAACGTCGCATCGTTAAATCCCAGAGCAAAAAAACAACTAACACAAACTGTTAAATCGATTATATAGGTTGGATTTTTCAATAGTTTTATTAAATTTCCAGGATTTTCTGGTGGTAATTCACCTAAAATAAATTCAATGCTTTAATTAAAATATAAAGTATTTCTTTTAATAAAAATTAAAAACTATTCTAATTATATTTTAAATGTATTAGCAATCACATACTTATTTTTTCTATTACAGTATTTGATTAATGTACATAAATAGATTCCTACAACGAGAATTTCATACGTTTATTCTTTATTCGAAAAATAAGATAAAGATGGCCAGATGATGAAGCAATAAAGGATTAACCTATCGCTCTGAATGTCTTGAACATTATTATTGGTTTGAATCGAATATTTCGGGCCTTCACCCGTGGCTGTTCTCATTCCGGATTGGTCGAATTCATGATTGTAAAGGCATTAAGAGGGCCTTTTCAATCATGGATTCGACCATGATCACAACAGAGGATCCGCCCATCATCACAATTCGAGTGGTGATGGATGAATTAGCTGATATTCAGTTAATTTATATTTCAATGGAGACACTCAATTACGAATGATATTATGTCGCTATTCTTAACTTGGCTTCGACCGTTCGTAAAATATATTTCCATTAACTGACTTTAGCGTCACTTTGTATTTCTAATGCTAAGAGATTCGGTTAATTTTATTCCTTAAGCTCTATTTCTTCAACTTACCACATGGAGGAATGATCAGAAAGGACGTAAAAGAACCTACTAAAAGAATACATCCCATGGTAACGAAAGGTATGGCATATCCACCAACCTAAATTCAAAGAAAAGCATAGTAAAAAGTCATTTTAGATTATATTTTATAAAATTTAATGGATAAAATTTAAAAAAAATTACTTGATATAAAGCACCGCCTATTGTTGGACCCATAATCATACCTAAACCAAAAATGGTTTCTACGATAGACTTAAAAAGATAAATAAAATTTCAAAATTCGTTTTATGTAAATTACAGAAATGTTAAAAATAGAATGAGAATTTACCAAGACAGTAGCTCTTTTTTCAGAAAAATTCATAGCAACGATAGCGTAACTTGAAGTAAAGTAAGCAGCCCATCCCATGGCATCAAACATTCGAATGAGAAATGCTAAAATTATGAAAGTAATTCCAGGAGGTGACCATTCTAGAATTCTAAATGATAAGATCAATATGAAAACATTTACATTATAGATTATCAAGTTTGTCGATAAACTTACCCAAATAAAATACTAGCGGAACCAGATAAGAATATTCCACCGTAAGCTAGAAGATTAGGTGATACACGTGAAGACTGAAAGAAAGATATAATTAATTAACAAAGAATATTTACTGAAAATTCTATTATAATATGATCATATACTATTCCCAAATATAAACAATTCTTAATTGAATAGATTAGATATAATATTAGGTACATTAAACTAATTAGAGGCCTATTTACATTGTTATATTGTCGAATCTTGTTGCTGTTTATAAACAATGTTATATTTAAAGTTCTCAAAGAATACAGTGACGAGATGATATTCTAGTTTGGTTTGGTTTGATGAGATACAGCAACACAGCAAAACACAAAGGGGAAGTTAAAGGGGGATGGGGACCAAAAGGACATCTTTTCAGTTATGTAAGCTCGAAATCGTTAGGGGTAATCGGTACGAGAACATCTGATAAATCGTTTAGGTTCATAAACGTCGGAGAAAAGGCATAACAGAGTAAAATACGAGCGCAGACTTCAAAGCTCCGTCAACACCACTCGGACCTTTCCCGACCCGAATCGGTCTCGGTTTTCGCCTGGAGACAGAATAATGACCAATCGGGGTGAGGGAGAGAGGCACGGAACCAATCAAACGGGTGAGATTCGAGGGAAAATCCTATAAAACCCCAAATCTCAAGGTCAAAACGTCGTTTCTCCTCCAAACAAGTGTTTTCATCAGTGGCCCAGGATCTCAGTCCTTCCGCCAGCATCACCCGTCAGAGTCACTTCCTGTGCAACGGACATTCCTCCATCAAGACTACGGGGCACGCATCTTCTGGCATCGAACCGTACCCGACCAGCGACGTCCGGAGCTCCCCAGCCAAGACGATCTAGATCGCATTTTGTATCATTATTATGTAAGTTACTTTTAATGTTAGAATAAACGGTTCTTGTGAGACACTTGTCATTTTTGCCTCCATCACCACAACCCACATACGATCAGTCCCTAGGCTTTTCCTGACGTGCAATTAACTAATTGCCCTGACAGTCGACAATCTTACACTTAGTTAGTCGCGAGTTTACACTTGACCAACCAACTAGTCATGTGAAGTTTTCCGAGTTTTCTTAACCACCTAAATAGGGGCCAGTTTCACATAGAAAGTCCTCCAGGGAGGTATCCCTCTTGGCAGATCTCTAATGTGTTGGCATTGCCGTATTACATCAGACCTAACCATTTTCTATAGTTTAAAATGTTTTATATAAGGCCTATATTAAACATTATAACAGTATTATTATTATTATATATTACATAAAATACATAAACGCCTTCATAAACTTTACACAATTAAAAACGTATTCGTATAAATTAAAAATAGAAGGGGACCACGGTGCCACTTGTCTCGTCTCGAACACAGAAATACTCCAAGATTTGATATTTTATATAAAAAGAAAGTGATGTAAATTAAAGTTTCTTCTGATAAGCAGTAAAAAAAAAAATCCACGTTTTATCTGTTTGATTGATTTATTTTATTGTTTTTGGGAAAACTGTAACTCTATATTGCAAGGCAGCTGTTAGGCAGTTGTCTAAAACCAGGCTATGACAGGGGTCAGAAAAATGTAGTTGGAGCAGGACTGTCACATATGACAGAAAAATCGAAATGTCTGCATTAAATCCCCAAAAATTTCTAATTCTGAAAATAATATAGGTACTGTACATACCATTTTTCCACAAATAGGCGACACAACAATTACTATCAGCTGATAAAAACCAATTATTAATCCATAAATCGTGGGAGATGCTCCTTTATATTCGGCCTGAAAACAATACATTAAAATGTTATTTTTTTGTGTGTGTAATAACGTTGGTCGGGATATAAATATTAGAATTACTTCTCTGGGAAAGAAAGGAGCTAATAATGCATAACAAGCACCCATAGCAAAATTACAGTAACCGAATGCAATTAACAATAGTATCTGGTTGCGAGTAATTCCTTTCAACACACTTTTTATGCCATTTCTAGACTTCCTTTTCTTTCGAACGTGTTCGTCATTTATATTTACGCTTGTCTGCTCCGTCATTTTTATTCCTAAACAAATTATAAAATTTGTAATAAAATTAAATAATATTTTATCGATTAAAAAACAAATAAAGCAAAAAGTACCTTTACTTTCCCCGCTGTTATGTACAACAGAGGGAAAGTATGGCGATCGGTCAAACCCCCCAAGATTTTTACATTTTAGAACTCGAGGGACTTCGAAACGTCGAGAAATGCAAAAATTTCGGGGATAATTTCTGTGAGTATGGATGTTGGTATGTAGGGGAAGGGGTGGCACGATTTTGTTCACCTGTTTGAAGCTTAATAACTCGTGTGCTTTTGGTCCAAAATTTCTGAAATTTTGCATGGAGTTTTGTGTATTAGTAGATTGATGCTGTTAAATTTTGGTGATTAAAGGTCAAGAGAGTGGAGAGATAAAGGGGGTCGTGTGTATCTCGAGTAAAGTCGAACTTAATGACGATTTCACTCGTTATTAACAATTACATTTTTTTTTTTTTATAAAACCCATCCCTACTCTCAAATTAAGCTTTTTGCCTTTTTATAATAGTTAAAAATAGTTAAAAATATTTAAAAATTTTAATAATAAAATACCGTAACAGATGGCGCCAGCAAATGTTGCCTGGAAAGTTAAGCAACTTTTTTTTTTTATCACGAACACAATCTACTTCTTATCTACATCTTGCTGCTCTATAAAAGATGCGAGTTTGAGTCCGGATTAGTTCAGAATTTCTCACAGGTAAATCGACCAGAATGCCTGAAGCCCGGAGGATTAAAAATAACACCTTCCTCTCGAATTTCACACAAAGCGGATGTTAATCGGTGTAAGTTGAGATAATTTACAGCGAGTTTCTGAAATTTGATATGTTTATTTTCTACGTTTTTACATCGAATTAAAATAAAATAAACATAAAATAGAACTTTAATCATTCCACGAATATTTCAAATCGTTAGAAAGAGAACAAAATGGAGAAATTAAACGTATAATCGTAGTTTTTGATGACAGTTTCACAGTTTTAGAATAAAAACTAGTTCATTTTTTTTACTCACCCCCTACAGAAGGATGTATAACCTCACTTAAACTGCATTTCCCAGGGATAAACCAGCATTCTGGTTTTACCATACGAAAATATCTGATTTCGTGGTCTTTCCCGGATAGATCGACGTGCCAGACAATCTAGAAAATACTATACAACCGCAAACAAAAAGTAGGAAATCCAAATTTAAAATTCTTCGCGCAGTTTTCTCTATGTTATTATTAAAAATACACTAAATGGGTGACGAAAAGGTTAGGCCTTTTTTGTCATCGATTATGATACACTCACCTTCATCTGGAAACAAAGCCGAATCTATCTCATTTTATCTGAAACACTAGCAAGATTACAGAAGCATACAAAAAGTTTTCGTTTTCACAAATCCGTCATTTCACAATCATAATGACAAATAAAAAAAAAAAAAAAAGATAAAATAAAATAAACAAACTTCACTTACAGAGGCGACGTTTGTTTGAAATGAATTAACTGTTGCTTGATGAACAAATGAATAATCTACCCTAAACGTGCATTAGAAAAGAAGGGAGATGAGAAAAGAGCAAGCAGATGGTGAAACGTTTCAGGCCAAAACCAGAGTTTAAAACGTTACGATTTTAAATATAAATTTTTATTTAGGGAATTCGAGAAGTCCTGCAAAAATTTAATTAAATAGAAAATATATATCTATCTATTTGTGCAAATGATTAAGTAATTTGTGACAAAAAGTAAAGTCAGCTTAGTCGTGTAATTGTTTAATAATTTAGCAACATATTTAAACGTAATTATAAAAAATTGTTTAAACTCACGAGTTTAAATAATGATAAAAATTTTTAGGCTGTTTTTAATAAGAACAAAGATTAAATAAAATATTAAATTNAAAATTTTTTTTTTAAATTTAATAATAAATTATAAAGTCTAGGATTATTTTTAATCAATGCAAAAATTAGATAAAATAATAAACTGTACACAAAATCCAAACATTTCTAAATTCCAATTATTCTCTGTTCTAATCTATATATATATAAAGTAGAATGTTTGTTTGTTTGTTCGCTATGTACTCCTAGGCCGTTCGAACAATTGCTACGAAACTGGGTACTTCCGTTAACATAGTATTAACTTAAATAACGTCGAACATACCACCCCAAAATCTTTATCATATTTTCTATATAAATTAATTTTTGTGTACATTTGATATGGTGGATTTACTTGTAGAGCCATCTATTATGAAAAATTAAAAGAATAATAAACTGAATATAATTCATACAAAAATGAATATAATTTCTAAAAATATTATATTTACTTAATTACTGCAACAACGATATAGCGCGCTATATTATTACTTTGATGAGTAGCACTGGCCTGTGTAGAATCAAAACTCGTCAACATGTCTATAACCACGTGGGAAATCTTTCATTGCATCTTAGTGAAAACGTGTATTATGTTTCCCGAAAACTGATGAAACAGGAAAAGTTAAAAGTTTTGACTTGATTCTTTATAGTCTACTAATTGGAATCCGAATACATTATTAATACGTTTAGTTCATTTCACTCTAGGTAATTATTTGTGTTTCTGTAATTTGTAATAAATAAGCATTGATTTGTTGGTTTTATTAAACTCTTTATAAAGTTCTTCCCAGAGGATGAGAACAGTCGGCCATTAAAACGACTTCGTATACGTCACCGTCCACATGACAACTTTGATAGTGATTGGTTGTTCAGAAAGAGAAGTCAAATTTTTCTCGGAAGTCTACGATTAAAAAGTGAGTAATCAAATGATAAAGCTAAATTAACCATCGGATTTGAACTTAGCTAATTAATTACAATGATTTTCAAAATTTTAACTATAGATAGGCGAGTATGATACCATTTTGTATTATATGCCAGCGTGCAACGAGAATTTTCCTTCAAGCAGTATGCAAGGCTGTAAGATTTCGAAGACTCCAAGTTTTCATGGTATTTAAACTTTTCGTTCGTTTTTAGTAACCACTCCTTTGAAGATATATGTCGGGCCCGTCCCTCACCACCATGATCGGCCTGCCGAACCCATAATGGCTTTGCTAAGAGAAGGCTCTCTTAATACCCACAAAATGGAAAGGCATCGCTCGTCTATGATTTAGCAACGTAGCCTCACCACATGCTTTCTGTAATTATTAGAATTTATTCCGTTCTCGCGTGATCTGTATTTTAATAAAATTCCTCTGCTCTTGTCCATTAAGCAAGGAGCCACAATACAGGAATATATAAACGAACTCGTGAAGGTCTACAGTATAAAACAGAACAACTTTATTACTTCAACAAACTTTATTTTTTAAATATCCCGAGTGAATTGTTATTATTTACTTTTAATCTTTATTAAACACTGTATTGTTTAAGATATTGTATTCTGTAGATAAATTACAGATAATAAAATTACAAAAACATTATTGATGAAATCACACCTTTTTTAAACAGAAAAATTGAAGATTAAAACTTTAAAAATAATTATTTGATAATCTATAAACTAATAAATTTTGAAATTTTTTGGTATAATTCTTAAGTTTTATGATAATTTTGGAGATTCATTGAAGGATGGACATGGGACAGAACATTGCTTTGCTTTACTGAGAAGGGCGTTATTTGCATATTTTATTAATTAATAAACTAATTTTTATATGTTTAAGCAGAGTGAGTTTAGGGAGAACATGTAATTACTTGCAGAGTAATTAATTTATATTTAAAGAAATCCCCTAATAATAGGGGACAATATAGACAGACTTAAATAAATTATTTCAGAATGGTGAGACTGGTGGGCAAGATTTTAGGGTGGGCTGGAGCTCATCATCGTCCCACCCTACGTCGTTTATGTCTAGAAAAGGTGTCTAAATGGTCTAATCTGAGATAAACTACTGATTTAGATTCTAACTTTCAAACATTTGAATAATATTTAATTTACAGTACTTATTAATGAAACTGTATTATTTTCATATTAAAAACTGCATATTCACGAGAACGATGTTTTTACCGCGGAATTTGTCTGGCAGCATCCTTTGTCTTCTCTGTTTAAGGTCAACCCCATTCTCCACCTAGTGGGTTTTTTAAAACTTATTATCTTATATTTTAGGTTTCGGTTTTGATTCGTGCAGTTCAGATAGTTGTGTAGATGTTTTTTTATATAGTCTTTAGTCGTTCGTTTCCTATAATAATACTCTTATGCTTTCAGATACAGTTATAAGGTGTGAATTTACTTCCTTTATGTGATACCAAACTTTTGCAAGTAGGCCTATAGTATTGTTATGTATTTGTTGTTTTAGTATTAATCTTACCGCACCATTATTTAAAAATAGGAATTAGTCTTCTGTTTATCAGATTTCTATCTACAGAAATTGAGTTTTTTTTTCGATTACTTTTCAAGTGTAACCGAAAAGTTTGTGCGAGTAAACTTTATCGAGATAAAATGTCTAAAGAAAATCACAAATACATACGTGTCAAGGGACCATTGTAAAAGCTTATTACTTTCCGAAGCACAGTTAGTAAACTATCTTAAAACACGGACCCTCACTCCTTCCTGATGATTTCATCTTCCTTAAAAACTCCTAAACCACTTTNAATAATATATTTCTTCTTATATTATTATCAATTTATATATAATAATTGAAACTAATTATATTTTTATTAAAAAAAAAAAGTAAATTTAGTTTAAAAACTATTCATAAAATATAATTAATTTAGATATTTTTAAATCTATTTTTTTTTAAATTAGAAATTTCATCAGCTGTATTTTAATTTGAAATTGTGTATTTTGAAATTTTGAAATATAAATTCCTGAACGTAAACAACATGAAGTACTCACTTGTAAGCAATATTTTTAAAAAGAATCGAAACTTTCACTGCTGTCGCTTATAAATTATTTCAAAGTTCATCCCGATAATTGATTTGATAATAGGTCGACGACGTCAAGTGATTATCTTGATTGTCACACTGATTAACTGATTGATCAACTTCTAGTTAAAAATTACATTAATTGTAAATCTTGTAACGATCTGCCATAATTGATCTATAATTTAAAAAAAAAAAACACTCAAAAATAAAATATTTTCAGTGGTTTTATCCTCTCCAGCGGGGAGTTTTATGGGTTTTCTTCACGTGTCTAATACCTAAATAGGAACCAGTTTTCTATAAAAGTTCTCTCAACAGGCACTTCCCTGGAGTAAAACTGGAAGCCTTTGACCATCGCACTTGTGTCGCGTGCGATCTGCAAAGGCTTCGAACTTTACTTTTGTGTCTTATAATGTCGCGCCACAATAATTTGCCTATACATTACAGCACCTTTGAGTAATGTTAGTAAAGGAATTTAAGCACAAAGCAACGCACGAAATCTTTTTCTGTAATGATACTTGTTATCCTGATCTATTATCATGGTGGCTGGCATTGCTTCGTCCAAAACTTTTCGTAGTTGTAGTCTGCGTAATATGCACTTTATGCACACGTTAATCTTACCGTCAAATCTGATTCCAGTATTTTCCTGCCACAACGTCCAAAAGTTTCCTTTATTTAGATGCTTTCGCTGAAGTATACTTTTCAACCTTATAATTTTATGTTTTGCTATAAGAGATACGATCTTTCTGCACTTATCAAAAGAAACTTTTTATCACTTTCCTAACTTTTTTACATAAAAAGAAACAAATTTTGCGGCTAATCTATTACTCACCAACTATAACTTGTCTAATTCTATTACTCACTAAACTAGTTATAATCTAGTACTGTAGTTAAGTATGCTATGTGGTATACATAAATAAATGTTGTATTCCCCTGTGGCACGTTATTCTATGGGGGAAGAAGGGCAATTGCCTGGACCCTTACCAACAAGGGGCCCAAAACAATCTTTTATAAACTCGTTACTGTAGTATGAATAACGAAATTTAAATTTTTCGCCATATATGTCATCATTAAAGTATGATAACTGTATTATGAATTTAATAACTACCTATTCAGATGACATCGATGCTACTATTTTTAAGGAAGAATTATACAATTTGCAAAATAGAAAATTTAAATTTATTTTTATTGATGTTAAATTATACTAAAAATGAACTAGGAAATTCGAACCCGGATTCCCTAGGATTCGAACTAGGATTCGAACCCGGGTCCTCCGTAGTAGTAATACAAAATTGCTACGTGCCCAGACTTAAAGTTCGGCCCTATTGTTATTTATTTATTAAATATAAATAAATACTCTGTGCTTTAAAATATATTTTTGGCCAAAACAATGTCGGATTAAATGCAGATCTTTGAAGGCGAAAAAGTTCGATGTTTAAATAACTGTAGCTCCAGTTTTTGAAAAGATTTCTTTTTCCTATCTATCCACCTTTAAAGAAAAATAATTCATTATACGTTGTGAAATTATTTAATAAGGTACACAAGGGTAATTTCGAAAGTAAAGGCTTCTAGTTTTTTTAAATACGAAAAAACGTTTTATACAAAAATAAAGTTTATATCGTTTTAAAGCGTGAACATTTGTCTATTTTTCTACATAATCGCCATTTTGGTCGATGCATTTTCNCCTCCGTAGTAGTAATACAAAATTGCTACGTGCCCAGACTTAAAGTTCGGCCCTATTGTTATTTATTTATTAAATATAAATAAATACTCTGTTTATAAAAGTTTTTTGATCCCAAAATAAAAAGAGATACTGTATCAAAATCAGAAAAAACATGTCATTTTTCTCATCTATTCTAGTCATACACGCCGTATGTCAAAATAAATACAAAAAACTGATAAATTCAACACGAAATATCAAAAGATATCGTCAGGTAAATTCTATAAATATTTTAATTTTATAGGAGAATTAAAATATAACAAATAAATAAGAATTTTATTTAATAATATACAATAACATTCGTAAAGCTTTAATCAAAATGTGCTAATTCTTACATGCTACTTGAATAGTTAAGATTTTGGTTTAGTGGCACCGTTTTCGAAGTTTATCAAAAACTAGGTGGACAACATTTACAGAGTCGAAACGTCCATGTAATTTTACATATTCTTGAAGATTGTAAGCTCAAGTTCCACGTGAGATAAGAAAACCCGCACGAGTTCTTGATTAACGTTTTCAGCCAGTTTCACCCATTGCAATACGAAGAATTTCGTGTGTTTCGTTTACTTGAGGAATATATTTCACGCCCGAATCGTTCACTTCGTCGTCGATAATAAAATAATTCTTTTCTCCACTTCTAAGGTTTTGTTTCTGTTTGCTTCAATGACATTTAATAACAAGAAAAAGCAAATATCATTCTTATATTTCTTTACGGTTCCTTATACTGATTGCTTATGATTTCAAAACAATCTACTAGTAAAAATAAATTCCTGATTCATTAACAATTACATTAGCCATAAGTTTTATTACGATAATTCCGAATAGTCCATATATACGAATCGTAAAATATCTCGTGATTTCATTCTCATATTGTTGAATTTATTAAGTTGTTTTAGGTTACTGATACTTTAATTTTAAATAGTTTAGAATAGTCGTGCCAATGTCGTCGTGCCCAATGGCATTTATATCTTTTTATGCATTCTCTCTTGTGACCGGATGAATGTATAAGGAATGAACTCGTTGCCACAATATAAAACAAATCAAGATCAACGTCCATTGTTTAAATTCGATAGTTACCCGAGGACCTTTAATACCAAATAAATCTTTATGTAATGCCCTTGAAAATACAGTTCTTAAACTGTAATTTCAGGGGCATTACGTAGAGATTTATTTGTTATAATCATCGAAGAATTGGCATTTATTCCTCTTATTGCGTCATCGATAAGTAATACCTAAATTTTCTCCGTGATCTTGTTTACAATGTAAATTCGGACATCACCCTCTCTAAATCGTAAATTACTCGCAAAATCAATAATTATTCTAATGTAGAGATTGATTCTGATTTTATATTATGAGCAGTTTAGTCTAGAAGTGTCGAGTTTCTCCATTTCTTTTTTTATTTTTGGTGATCATCACAATGTCGAGCTACAATTTTTGGTCTGCAATTTGAAAAAATTGTACACTTATAAATTCCCATCGTCGTCCGTCCGTCTGTCTTTCCTTAATGTTGAGAATAGAGTTACATAAATGAAAGTCGGGACGAGATATGGAAAGCTTAGGGACATGAGGCCTCGATACATGAATTTCCGATGCAAACTGGAAGTCACGTTATTTTAAGTCAAAAATCCCCCCGTAAGGTGTTAGATGACAGGCACGACTCTATTGTTAAAGGAAAAGTATGGTGTACAGGGGCAAGACATTACAGTACTAATTTGAGATGGAGACATATTTTTAAATTAAAATACATTTAAAATATAATTAAAAATTGCAGCATGGCATTGTGACTATGTTACAATAAACAATTGCTGATGGCCGGATGGCCAAGCGGTCAAAATAGCAGCCTGCCGCTTTGGAGAATACGGGATTAAATCCGGATGGGTCGAATTTTTCGGGGTGGTCGGTCTGGATACGTAAAGTTACCGACTTAAAGGGGAGGATCTATTAATCCCGTAACAGGATGACCCTTAGGGAATTCCGCATGTGGGCTGTGGCGAAAGAGGCAATTGACGACAAGTGTTTTCACAAAAGAAAAACCGTTTATTTGGTAACGTCCATTCTTACATCGAGTTTAACAGTTCCACTTCCTTAGTCTTTCGGGATGGAGAAAATTCCTTCTTCTGTCGAGGCCCCGGGGAGAAATAGATAGAATCGTTGGGGGTTGTAGACGCTGGAAGAGTTGCTGCGACGCCTGTGAGTTCCTAGACGAGAACCTATCTTGTGCCGCCGCCAACTATGTAAGTTGACGGCGGCACAATTCGCAATAAAAGCAAACGGTGAGCTTAATCCAGAGAAGACTGTCTTACGACCTTCAGGTTCCTATTTTTATACTTTTTCCTCCGCTATCCGTATTTCCGATTGGTTCCTCGTCCCATTCCTCGCTTCCCGATTGGTTCCTCGTCCCATTCCTCGCTTCCCGATTGGTCCTACCTGTGTTCCTAGGTGTGTTCCTAGTCTCGCAACCCGAGACCAACTCGGGTTGCGAGAAACGTCCGATTCTAGGTGTATCCGACACCTCTTCGTCTACTGTGACCGGAGATTGTTGATAGAACAATAAGACCTGCAATCATAACTCAGCCCGTTGGTTGTGATTTTTGTCGTCTTGGAATTCTAACGATCATATCAATTTTTTTTCTCTTTTACCGAAATTGTTCTCCCTAGGTCGATAATTTACGAATGCTTGGGTCAGAGTTCTACCAGTTTGAGTGCTTGTGTTAGAGTTCTACCTTTCGGTTTTACATTGACAGATCGTTTAAAAAATTTGCCAAGAAGAACTTGGCCGTATTTCGAATGTTGGGTAGACGATCTTTGACCTCCGAAATCTCCCGTTCTAAGAACTTTAAAATTTGGCTTCTCTCACAACACGTCGAGTCGCGACCATGGAAGCTTGTTCGCATCCTTGGTAGCGACTCAAAACCACCAAGGTTTAATAGCATCAATGCCTCTTATCCACAAGCTATAACAAGGGGACAATAGGATGTCTAAGAGTTAATATCTCGGGATGAAAAAATGATTAAGAAATAAACTTTGATACGGTAGCTTGTGTATAAGAGGCATTGATGCTATTAAACTTTGGTGGTTAAAGATCAAGAGGGTAGGAGATAGAGCGGGGTCACGTGTGATATTTCAAGAGGGTCGGGGTTAATGAAGATTTTACTCGTTACTAGCATTTGTAATTTTTTTTGTATGTAAGACTCGTTTCTCTACTCAAAATTAATCCTTTTGCGCTTTTATAATAATTAAAAATATGAAAAGTTTATATAACAAAATCTCATAACAGATGGCGCCACACACAGTTTTATTTATTATAATTAAAAGTATAGAAGTTATTTTCTAAATAAAATCTCACAACAGCCGAGAAAGTTACGCAACTCGTTGCTATTGATAGATTTTTGTTTATAAAAATCAGTTACATTTGTTGAAACGAACGATCTTCTTCTCAGTTTGAATATAGAAAGATCTATATTTGATTGTTTCGTGTAAAATACATACACGATATTTTCTATCGGTCAGGTGAATTCATAAAATTTGCTTATTTAATATACTAATTAACGTTTACGTAACTAAACTATAACACGCATATTTAATATAACCGATGACGTCAGGTAAGCGCTCTTAAAATGGCGTCGGATAAACGAAATATTACGAAATTCAGTAAAAATTGCGCTGTCGGTCAATCGGAAACTTGGTCGGAAAATACCGGACGAAGGAGAGGGAGGATTTCTTCTAGTTTTGGGGGTGGCGAGGTAAAGATGACGTTCGATTTTAGAAAATGTCGCTTCTAACCCCTTGTGGAGAATGGAAACCGAAGGCGGAGGGCGGTAGGGACAGTCTCGATCCCAATCCGTCGTCACTCTGGGGATAGAAACGTGAAAAATGCAGATATTTAGCCTTAAAATTCAAAAAGAATCCGTGACGTCAATCGCATTCGAATTCGTTGCGAGCTTTCTAATCTCGCAACAATTGCCGTTTCTATGGAAACGCGTATTGTTGCAACACGATTTTGCGTCACTTTGCACGTTTTTCGCTTGCCGGACGGACGTGTGCGCTCTTTGCTCTTGTTTCTGCTGTGTTTTTTGCCTTTTTTACGTGGTTTTAAGAAGACTTGTGGACGCCGACATTACACCAAGTAAGATTTTAATTAAAATTTAGCTAGTTGTAAGATTTTATTTTCGTTTCGTTTAGTCCAACTCTCGGAGACGACATCGGCCGACTCGGACTTTGCATATTCGCGTTAAAATCTGCCGTCGCTTGTGTTTTTCGTTTGAATTACCATCCGAAACGTACCTCTTTCGACTTTTAAACCAGCCGCCACATTGGAAAGCGACCGAAGCGCCGAAAACGACGGATGCAAAGGATTAAGTATTTGTTCATTGGTTTATTTTCGTAATTAATTAATTTAGATTATATTTTATAAACACGGTGAAAGAATAAGGATTATTTGCAAATATCTTATTTATAGAAATTCGATTAAAACTTATTTAATACTAACTCTAAATACGAATTGCGTATCGTAATTTTAACTAAAATATACACTCGAAACCGGATGGACCGAAGGATACACGGAGACCGCATTCTGAAGCATGACACGTTCCTTCGACACATCCGGGACGTCAAAAATTTCGCCCTTTCACCTCCGACTTCTCCATTGAATCTACGTATTAGTTACAACGCTTTTCAATGGCTTACTTTGCGAGAATTAAATTATCTGCAGCTGTGCGACTTAAAACACAATCTAATACACTTAACAGTTATCTATACAGGCTGGACACAAAGAATTCTTTTCCTTAAGCTGTTTGTCTCTTTCCACAACGCGGTCTTTTCCGAGTGCAGTCCATCTTCCACACTTACGTAACCCTTTGCAAATGCTTTGTGCCACTTAAACGTTCGTGTCCCGGCTGCGGGCACGTCTTGTGTTTTCGTCGACTCTCGTACGGAATTTCTTCGCACGAAACTCTCTTAAATGCCATCGTTGCGGTTAGGTGACGCACGTTAGGGTAAATTGCTCTAGAACGAAACACTCGTTACGACTTGGGCTCGAGATCGAGTACGAGTGCCTTTTTCGCATGGCTACTTTTCTGTCTTGTCTTTACTTTTCTGTCGTACAAATAAATACAAATTACACGCAAGAGAGTTTATTCGTTCCGGGTCGGTCGTCTCTACTGTAAATGCAGTTGGAACCTTCTAGCAATTTCCGGTAGGGTCTAACGCGAGTTACACGAATTCCGATCCGACGTGAGTATAATCTTGAGCTTTTTCTGCGTTAAGTATATCCGCATCCCATTAATATATATATATTTTTTTGTTTCTTTACAGAATGAAGAGCTGGCGGTTTTGGCGTTGGCTGCGGCCCAAGAAGATGAAGAAGTGTGAAGGGCGTTCTCCTTCCGCAATCGATGAAGAGAGGGTCTTTTCCCCCTTTGAGCGGGGAGAGGAACTCTCTTCCATCGATTGCGGAAGGGGTTCTTCCTTCACGGGATCGCCTTCGGGAATAGCGGATGTCGACAGCATTCTCTGTTCCGCGTTGAACGGAGAGGAGACATTTCGCCATTCGGACGTGTTCCGAAAGGTGAAATGTCTCCATGTTGACGACATCATCTTTGACGCACTGGGAGGGGAGGAATGTTTCGATCATTCCTCCCTTTTCCAACGAGTGGGATCCTCTCGTTCGGTGTGGGCAAAGATGGAAAGGAAAAAGCGTCGCTTCGTAAGAGAAGTGAACGACTTTTTCCTTTGCTATTTCTGAAGGATATTACTAACCTAGGATAAGAAGGCAAGAGGTTTTTTTCGTTTGTTTTTTCCTCTTGTCATACTAACAACATTTAAATTTAAGGTTTTAGTTTCAATTTACTAACGTAGGATAAGAAGGCAAGAGGTTTTTTTCGTTTGTTTTTTCCTCTTGTCATACTTATATTTACTAATTTAGGATAAGAAGGCAAGAGGTTTTTTTTTTTTTTTTCCTCTTGTCATACTAACATTCAAACTAAAACCTTAAATTTAATTTACTAATCTAGATGTAAGAAGACAAGGGGTTTTTATTTTTTTTCCCCTTGTCGTACTCACATTAGTTTAGTAAGTCACATCCACGCACATAAACAACAACATCCCTCACGCTGAAACACACAGTTCAAACAACGACACATTCGTCGCATCCAATCACCAACCATTCCATTCACGTGCATTATAAACAACACCGTTTCACAACACGAACACGCTTCCCAAAATCCAACCTCTGGGTCCACGTCCCGGGAAGCGGTAACATCGGTCGATACGACCGATGGCTGAAGAGGCTCTGGTAACAATTTACTTTTCACTTATCTTCGCCATTAAAATTTAAATTCAAATTCTTGTAATGATTCGTTTACTTGTATTCAAATGAATTTTTGTTAATTATATAGATAAAAAATTTTTCACAGCAAGTGAAAAAGATTCTAAACGATTGCTTTACCAGTATTTCTCATAGAATAAATTGAATGTGCACAAAAAGCAGAAGTGGATTAACATACGTAATACACATTCCAATGATAAATACAGAATGTGAATATAGTAGAATGAGATTATAATAAAAGCTACACACTGCGAATGAAAACATTAACTTGCGTAAAAAAGGTAGACGTGGTAAGGGTATTCTACACACGCCACTTTTAATGTAGTTTAAAATACTCCTGTATTTAATTAACAAAATAATAATACGAGGATTGTCCCAAAAGTAATGCACACAGTTGGCTCTAACTCGAAAAATATTTATTGAAGAAGATACAAGTGATTACAGGCCTTGAAAATAATCCCCTCCCTTATCGATGCACGCTTGCCAGCGGCGCGGAAGTGCTTGAATTCCGTTCAGCGTCCCCTTATTGAGCATCCGAATCTGTCGGATCACTTCTCTCCCAGCGTCGGAAAACGCACTCCCCGAAGGGGTTCCTTCAGCTTGGGGAAGAGATCGAAGTCGGGTGGCGGAGCTGTTCCCGGCCGTATTTTTTGAAAGTTTGATGATCGGTGCACCGATGCCGCCACCTTCGTTTGCCTAGCACCTGTGTTAAAATACGATGTGCGCTCGTTTTCGAGATTCCTGTGTCCGCCTCAATTTCTCTTACCGTGATTCTCCAGTCTTGGTCTAGCAAAGTTGCAATGATTTAAGCGTTTGTGTTGTCAGCTGTTACAGTCTTCGATGCTTGTTCGACCTTCTCGAAACTTCGTGTGCCACGATTCACACTAAACCTTCCAGACGCTTCTTTTAACGCGGCATGAATTTCGGGCACTTACTTTTTTGCCGGACACTGTTTCGATGTGAATATACGCACGTTGCTCTGTTGCTGAAATCCGACCCGACGGACTGTTCTCGTTGACTTTTCGAATTTTTGGCATTTTTCCTTTAAACGAATCCCACTACCATATGATACGAACGCGTTCGTAAGACTTCAATGTACACACTGTCTACGTTGCCTACAACGCCCGCTGCGCATTACTTTTGGGACAACCCTCGTAATTAATAGAACTTAAATGGAATTTTGTACACAGACTTATAACGGGAATCCGAAATTCGACGTATTGTCGTTATTGTTTTTTTGGGAAGAATTTCTGTGCAAAGTATAATACGTTAAGATATGCTGGGTCAAATTTTCGAGAAAAAAAAATAAAAAAAACAGGTATTTTAACACGTGTCGTAGTCGTTCCGAGACTAGCTATTTACATTTTGTATCGCGTTGTTTAGATCAAAGGTTTTTTCTTATATTTTAGACACACGAATTTCGCGATTTCGGACCTCGTCTGGGAACTCACAGATATGTCTGGCTCCGTCCCTCTCTACCCGACCATTTCATTATGGGCTTAGCCGAACTCATAATGGGCTTGCTATAAGAAGCCCTCTTATTGCCCACAGGGCGGAAAGAGTTTTAGAAAAAACTCTATGGCTAGAATTAAGATTTATTTTTGTCATAACTTTTCGTTGAATTTTATTTATATATTTAGATATATATTATTTGATTATTTACTATAATAATTTATAAATTTAATAAATATTATCTGTTATTTGAAAATATCTTTGTTTTGATTTAATTTTATTTTTTATTTTTACACTAGGGGGCACTGTGTAACCACGTGTATGTGTTTCTTCATGATGATGAAATATTTATAATTTTTGTATAGAAAAGAAGATTACTGTTATATTTGGTAAACAAGAATAATGGAAGGCGATACTTTAGAAGACGTTACTTTAACGGTTTTGAAAGACTTAACTGAAGATGATTTATATATTCCTCCTGTCAAATATGAGTGTAAGTCTTAACCTTTTATGAAAATCATCCGTCGGATCCTTATTATTGTTACTTTTCTGTGTGATTTTATCTTCAAGTAGATTTTAAACATTTATTAATTATATGTAAATATAGGGTTTATCCATAAATCATGTGTTGGAGTTTAGTGAAAGGAAGGGCTGAAGAGTTGTGAGGAAAGATCACGTAGGATGTATTAAAAAGCCATGTGGTTATATCGTGTTTACTCGAATGTAAGGCGTCCTTTTCTCAGGAGCTGTAGATCATGCCCATAGTGAGAAAAGTCGTAAGAACCGATGGCCTACGTGTGACTCTCTGTGAGATATAGCCCTTGAAAACAGTCTATCAGAAATTTTGAAGATCTTCAAAAATATGGTAAAATTTAAAAATCTGGAATTGTTTTCCACTTTACTAGAGTTGGCTAAAAGCTCATAAAGCAAGAACCATTGCACTGATCACAGGGGCACAATTGGAATCATGATATGCAATCTGTTAAACCTATTGCATATTTAACAATATACTGACTTTGGAGGGTATGTTTTGCAAAGGGTCATATGTAAATGATCAGTTCCTTTGACTTTTACTTTTTGGACATGGTCTACAGATTTGAAAAGGTTTCAACCACCTCATTCAGAGCTGTATTTTTACATAATTAGCAATTTCTAGTGCCGTGCATCTTATTCCTCTGTCACTGAATTTTACAAACTATTCAATTGTTCAATTACTACCATTTAGGTCCAACTTCTCTAGTTAAAGCTCAACTCAAAACTGTCTTTTTCACATTATTTTAATGATTTTATTAAACTAATATTTGTAATAGTAAATATTTAAGAGGTCAAGAGGTTTGTAAATGAAAAACACTCAATGCCAGAAATTGTGTAATCATTAAAAACGCTCTTTTGGCATTATAGTACTTCAATATTAACAAAAAACAGCTATGCTAGTACCTTTGATATTGTTTTAAATCATCTTCAGGCAATATAGAATGTGTTTAGATTATATTACTTGAAGAAGACATTACTACAATGTTGAAATTTCTGGCTGTTTTTGTCAAGAAGCCAATCTTGTAAGACTATTACAGTTAGAGTTGCCAACTGTAATATACTAACAAAGTTTTTTTTACTGTTATCTATTGTATTCTTCTGTATTTTAACTGGTTGATTTTTTTTTGTATTTCTCTTTCTTTTCAGCATCATTACTTTGTATGTTTTACTATTTTTTTCATTTTGCATGCATGCTCTTGTTTGCTATTTTGTTTTTAATCTAAGGAATTGCTCTTTAGGGTTGCTTTTTTCTTGTCCTTTAGGACATGTATTAATTAACAAATAAAAAAATGAACTTTCTTGCACAGAAAGGGAGGATGCTGCACAGACATTGTGCAATGAAGAACATTCATTATATATAGTCTATTTCAGGGATGGGCAACCTTTTTCTACTTAGGGCTGCATTTCAAAACTTTTGAATTGATGCGGGCAGCATACAAGAGAAAAAGAGGGTAAAAAATGTCGGTAAATCACAATTATTTATTCATATATAATTATAAATTAGTATAGGTATACTTAATTTAGCTTCTGGAACTGATGTAAATGTAATATATCAGAAATATTTGGTTAAATATTAGTCATTGCTAGTTTTAAATTAGTTTCAATGTGTCTGTTAGCTGGTTTCTTGTTTTAATTTTTACTAAATTCATTGCAGAAAAACTATTCACATACTTTTGTAGTGACATAAGTAGTGACATGACTTTTGTAGTACACATAAGTTGTAGAAAATAACATTTGAATTTTTTCTGCATACCTCCTTAAGCTGGGAAATTGATATATTTACACACATTTAATGCAATGTGGGCCACGGGTTGCCCATGCCTGGACTATTTGTTGATTAACTGTAAATTATAAAACACAAAATAGACAATAAAATATAGTTTTAAACTCAGAATTATTACCAACTGTTGCACAACACCTTAATTGAGTCCCTAAATTTTATTTACTTGTCAGACTCAAATAACAGCAGAGTGTTTCTCTTTTTGTTACTCCCAGTGTTTTCCAGCTGGTGTGCCATGACAGTGCCTCAGGTGTGTCAGAGAAATATTGAAAATGTTTTAGAATTTTGAATAAGCTTTTTAAAATTTCATTTATCTTTCATCTTTTCACTACTAGCTGACTAAAGGGAGAAGGTATTCATTAAAATGCCAATTGTTGCAAATTCTCTCTCGTAAAAGTTGCATGTGCAGGGTTCCTACTCAAATTTTTGTTTTAATTTCCATGACTTTACCTGACCACTTTGTTCAAATTCCCTGACCTTTATGTCCCTTACAGTATGGCATATTGACAAAATAAAACTGCATTTTACTTACTATGCACATATGTTTTGCTTCTCCAACATTTTAATTAGTTATTTTTTCTAATTAACAGTTATATTTTTTTTTATAATTGCTTCTTGGAAACAAATCCAGTGTATTTGAAAAAAAGCTATTATATTTTTTGAAAGAAAACCATCAAACTACCTCAAAAAATTTGAAAAATTTTTTTATTAAAACAAAGTATAAAACAAAACAACACTTTTAAAGATAAATAGTTGGAAGAATTAGCAAAAAATCAGATAAATGTCAGACACGTGGACAGCATCTTTGAAAGCTCTACATTATTAAGTTAGATTTTAAGGAGGCCTTACCATATCAGATCCATGCCTGATTCATCTTCTGTTTTAAATTTTTTGTTAAGATATTCTCGAAGTTGGAGACCAAGGATGCAGTCTTATGTATAAGAACTCTATAACCAAATTAATATGTATTAATAAAATTAATTTTTTCAATTTTTAGATTAAAATTAATTAGTTAGTTAATGCCAAACAAACTGTCAGATTATTAATCAGGCTTTAACAAGACTAATTTCAAATTAGCTTTGTTATAGCCCAATTAATAAGTTCATTTGGCATTAATAATTGAATTGGGTTGAGAAAAAGAGATTAATTTAAAACAATTATTTCAGATTTAGATCACCCAGCTGATGTTCAGTAAGTACTCTTTTTTTTAAATTAGATAATTTCTTTATGAAAAGATTAAAAATAATTGAAGGGTATAGTGCAAAAAGTGTCTTAAATTTAATTTTGATCACATATTGACCATGTCTAAAAGTAAACAAAACCTGAGGCAAGTCATGTGATTGGACCTTCTTCAACTTCCGGTAGAATGTGGAAGTTGTGTTAATAGTTGATGCAAAAAACATCATGTCTATCAGTCACGTTTCTTTAAATAACTATATTGTCTCATAAAATTATTGTTAGGATATATTATTGTTTATACATAAAACTAAATTGAATTCGACTTTATTCTCCATTTCTTTGACGCTTTATTTTAGAGAAGAAAGTGCAACATTCCTCTCTTATTCTTGCTTTGTTTACTCAATACTATTCATAAGTGTATACAATTACTCAAACTCTTATTTATATTTAAATTAAATATTCTCAACTTTTTAAGTTTTCTACAGGGTTTTTATATGAAAATAATGCTCCATACAAAATAATTTTGAAATATATTTTATATATATAGCCTATTGTGTAAAGAGATCCTATGTATAAAATTTTATAAAGGGGAAAAAACTTACAAAAATGTTTAAAAATTAATTTAATTAAACTTTAAATGGTTCTAGAAAATGGCAGTGAATGGCTAGCCAAAGATGGGATTACTGCTCCTAAAAAATTAATTTTAATAAAAAACAAAATGAAAATTTCTTTATCATCAATTTTAACTTAAATATAATACTGTTTTAAAGTAATACTGTATTTACTCTAAAAACCTTAATGTTAGTCAAATGCAAGTCATGGGTGATTGAAGTAAGATAGCGTGCAAAATAACGTAACAGTACATCATTCTAATAAAAGATCTCTAATTAAAGTTATTGTGGTGTGACAGATTTTTTTTTTCTTTTATTTTTTTTTTTATAATATATAAAATCCAGTTTCTTTTCACATCAGTTTTTATTGTCATCAGACGGAATTATGAGACGTGAAACACGTGATATTCAAAAAATACTTACGAAAATCGACTTATTAACTAAAGTAATAAATATAATTTATGTATAATACTGTTTTAAAGTAATATTTACTCTAAAAACCTTAATGTCAGTCAAATATTAATATAAGAACATTTATGCTAGTGAAAGAAGCCATACTGAATGTTTGTATCTTCAATACACTATTGTACAGTATACAAGTACATCTTAATCAAATATATTAGCTTGAAAGTAATAAATTTGAGTTAGAATTACTTCGAAAAATCCTTGTATAAGCTTGTTACAACATATTTCTATTTCTGCATATACACTGGACGACAAAAAAAATAACGCACCATGAAGGACTTGTTAGATCTGAATAAAAATTGATATGTTGCATCATCTTAGCTAGATATGTAAATGATTAGCTTTTGAGAGTAGGTTCTTATGTTATATCGCCACCAGAGGGGAAAAAATGTTTCCGCTGCCTGGTATAAAGGTGCACGCTGTGACGACTTGTGCATATGTTCTGCACTTTTATTCATGGTTTTGACTTCATTGAGTGACAGACATGCCTCTACGACGCATTCGACAGCCTTACACTCAGTTAAGTGAGTTTAAGAGAGGTCGCATTGTTGGATTGAGAGGAAGATGGTCATACTGCCGGATTGGCCGCCATCTGAACCGTTCTGATAGAACTGTTAGGATGTGTTATGAGCAGTGGGTAAGTAGGGGTANGCTGGAAAATCAGAAATATATTTTCATATTTTGTTTAACAAATCTGATTTGATTCTATTGAGTTTAACATTGTAATGTTTGTGAAGATCTTTAGGGGATGCATTGCTTACAAGAATTTTTACAGCTAGAATCACCTTAAAACTTCCACAACCTACTTTGCTGAAAGCAAAGTAGGTTGTGGAAGTTTTAAGGTGATTCTAGCTGTAAAAATTCTTGTAAGCAATGCATCCCCTAAAGATCTTCACAAACATTACAATGTTAAACTCAATAGAATCAAATCAGATTTGTTAAACAAAATACAAAAATATATTTCTGATTTTCCAGCAGGATAATCATATTATGAAAATAGATTGTGTAAACACATTGATTCTGATTTAAATGTAGCTAAATTACACAGATCGTTTGTTCAACAGCATGAGAGAATTTCATACAGCAACATGTTTAGAAAAACTTTTTATAGATTAATTCAATATACTGTACATCTTGGCTTTCCAAGGAAAAATATATGAAAGAATTGCAGATTTAATAATCAGATTAAAAGAAGCTGAAATAAGTAAGAGGAAGAAAAATTTAGAAATTTAAAGGTTGTGAGAGAACTTCTCCTTTGAAAAGCATGATGCTTTCGGAAACAACTTATAAATTGAAGCAAAGATATGAAAAGTGAAAATGTTCTTTTAATATGTTTGATTATCAGAATAATTTTTTCATCCCTGTTACTAACATCCAGGATGAGTATCTGTGACAACTATAGTTCTGTAACTTGGGGAGTATTTGTTGTCAAAACACAAACAAAACAACAATCTACTATATATTTACACAGAAAATTCTGCTCAGGAAGGACCGAACAAAGTTATTATTACCTGTCTGAAAGATTTTATTATGAAGAGTAAAACTGAAAAAACAAAATATTTATTAATATTCTTAGACCAACTACATATTTCAAAAAAATTATTTGATAAAATAGAAATTTAATATACAGTTCTGGGGCATAGTATGATGCCAGTTTATCAATACTGGTGATGTGCCGGATATCCGTATTCGCGGATATCCGAGGGAAAAAAGATCCGTATTCGTATCCATATCCGTTACTTTTTAGCGGATCTTTAATGGATCTTTTATTGTAATGAATTTCGTTACTTATATGAAATTTTAAAGATAGGTAGCAATAAAATACTAATAACTTCAATTCAAATAATTTTTTATTTCTTAAAATCACTTATTTGGCACATTCACATTGCAAAAATTTTATCATGCAAAATTCATTTACTATCATAAAATATTTCCATATTACACTACTAAAGTTTTTTGTCGACATTGTTTTTATTTTAATTTAACTCAACACTCTCCAAAAATACAAACATAATCTCCGCTATTCCGTGTCACACTAAACTATAAACAAAAACACGCACAGTGCAAGTCAAAACACGTCGTGTTACTAACGCAAAGCGTCAACTATTGGTCCAAGGTCACATGCACCGGTGCCAACTGAGTACAAAAGTTGAGATCCATATCTGTATCCATGGATCTAGACTCTAATGATCCATATCTGTATCCATATCCGTACATATACATTTTTAACGATCCAGCACATCACTAATCAATACTTTGCAATACTCAAGGAGGAATGACTCAAACATCAACATATCAATAATCCCAAATTCTGTGTGAATTTGATTATACTCTGCAAACCAAAAAAAAAACATTTGATTGTGCACTTTATTGTAAACTCTCTCAGATCTAATGGTATTTAAAAGATAGCAATCAAATTGTTCAAGCTTAAGTTTAAAAGTTGACTTGACCCACATATCAGCAATTTCTGGTATTTCTAAAGCTAGGTTTGTGCAGTTTAATGCTACAGAATATCCCAAAATTGGTGTAACAGAGAAAAATATCATATAATGTACAGTTAGGATGCAGTCACTAATGCATAAAAGATTAAAAAAAATAGCAAAATGTTTTATATTTTAATAAAGTTTATTGAATTTTTTAAAAGTACAACTATATGCAAAATGAATTTAGTGGGTTATTACTGGGAATTACTTACCAGATAGGTTCTGACATCAAAATGTATGAATATTGCAGATCTTGTTGTATGAGTATTATTTAACAGCAGATTTTTTACTTTATTACGAAATAAGTCTGTTACAAAAATATGAATATTATTTTGCTGCATTTCTATATTTTTATTATCTAGTTTATTTAACCCTTTTGCTGGCAAGAATTTTTTGTTTTTACTATTTTTGGTAATCGTAGCCCTCCTGAGAATTTCTTGTATTTAATAAAAATTTGAACATTATTCATCAAAACTTTATATTCTTCTTAAATAGATGTCATGCAATAATCCATATTTCATTCTGTTTTATGTTTTGTAATAAAGAAAATGATAAAAAGTCACTAAAATTTTGTTTATAATTTTTAATAATAATGAAAAACAAAATAAATATCTTAAAATATTCAAAATAAGGAATTTTAGTTAGAAGATAATGTAAGAAATCTAATCTAAAACCTAAAACAAAACACAGTAATCCTTCACAAATATACATGTATTTAATACTATTTTGATAATATTGGCATGATTAACCTACCATTTTATCAAGCAAGACTCAAATCTGCTTGAAAAACTGTGCGCTGTTAAATGCATAGAATGATACTTTTATTTTATTTAAAAATCATATGTAATTGTAATTAACTTTTGCAATTTTTTTATATGCCTTGTTTTTTTATGATTTCAGTAAAATATGAATTGTCTATGTATAGTACAGTACCTGAGTTAAGTTATAAAATTTGTAGTTTGCTAAGAATGCATATAAAATTTACAATTCAATTAAAAATTTTTATTCTTCATTTTCTCAAAACTATAAAAATGTGATCTTTAGACACTTATTGCACTGGTCCTTCTAATTATATCTTTTATTGACAGTTTGCAAAGGATGGATTCAATTAAAGAATTTATCTATAATTAATGTAATTTTAAAACAATTTTTCTTATTCAGTTTAGTAAATAGTATTGAAGTTATAATGAAAAAGTCAAATCAAGTGAGGAAATAAAAATAATAGAAAATTGAATAGATTATAATGCTTCATTTGTATATTCATGACTATTAATTTAAAAAAAAAAACTCTTTCAGCTTTCCTCGAACATCATCAGTTTAAACGTACAAATTTGTATATGAGTTTGCTATAATAGCATATTGTGGTATCTAAAAGAGGCATTATTGTCTATTTAATTGTCAACATGATGCCAAGTTTCATTTAACTTTGTATAAAAGTTTATTCATTTATTATGATAAACATTTATCATTCTTATGATTATTGTTCTATGAATGAAAAGAACAAATATTGGATATATTTTAGTTGTTTAAATTTCATGTTTTTTTAATGCAAAATAGTTAGTTTAATTTGTTTAATCTTTGATATAACAGGGTGAGAGAAAAAATTTCTGGACTGAGTTTAAAGCATAACTTTTGAAAACTTTTGGTATAAATATTTTAAAATTATCTTTTTATGTCATTAAACATGTTTGGTTACAGCAAACGAAGTTTTCAAACATTCGTGAATCGGTTCAGAAAAATGGCTTCAAAATAGGACGTATTAAGAGAGCAAGTTGTACAAATGTACGAAAATAAAGCAAACCATTCAAAAAAATTGGTGCAGCATTTTTTAGCAATGACTATAGCAAATTATGATATTTTGAAGAAGTCTGAAATACCTGGAATGTGGAAAAGAAGGCCAAAAAGTGAAGAAATCCAGGTGTTACTAATGCTAAAAACCAAATGTCAAGCATTGCAACAAATGTTTGACAACAAAGATGTAGTTAGTCAGGTGGAGGCAGCTAAAGTGTTAAATTGTCGTTGAACATGCATAGATAAGACATTTAAGACAATGGGCATAAAGAAAAGGAAGAAGAAGAGCACTGCAGAGTACACTGCTGAAGAAATTGCCAAAATCCAAATGCAATGCAGATAGCTTGTAAGAAATTTGGAAACAAAATGCTCATTTTGGATGACAAGAAATAATTCTCTTTCTCTCTGGAATGCAAATGCCAGGAAATGAAATTTACTGTGCAAGCAATGAAAATCAAGCACTTTCCGAATTGAAGTGCAAATTTAAGAAGAAATTTGAAGCAAAAGCCATGCCATACATTGTCATCTCACCTTCTGGTGAAATGACAATGTATGGCATGACTTTTGCTTAGCCATTTTTTAAGAAATGCCATACACGGTTTCTAGCACATACCAAATGAATGTCTAAAGAATATTCTAATCACTTTTCTTAACAAGCATCATCAAAATGACAATTCCATCTTTTGGTCTGACAAAGCTTCGTCTCACTACTCAAATTTGAACACAGAATTCCTCAAAGTCAAAAACATTCCTTTTGTACCCAAAGAACATAATCCATTAAATCTGCCACAATGCTGGGCAATTGAAGATTTCTTTGGATATTTGGCACAAATAGTACACAAGAAAGGTTGGCGAGCAAATAATACCACACAATTGATCCAAAGAATCAGACTTTCATGACAGTTGACACGTCAAGAAGGCCATCCAAAGGAGTTGCGAGTCTATTGAAACAAACTTACAGCATGTCGCCAACCATAAGCCATATGATGATATTCATTAAATTCTATACTATTGTAAATAAAATTTCTTTTAAAATAATACATAATATTTTATAATTACTTCCAATATTTTGATAAAATATTATGCTTTAAAAACAATCCAGATTTTTTCTCATCCCATTAATAATGCTGTGATAAACTAAAACATTTAGAATATCTTTGTTCTCTGGCATTCAAAGAACACATTATCATGGATATTAATGATGATGATCTGAATTGTTATTAATTAATCTTTAATGTAAGCAGGTAACACAGTGATCAGATTATTTAAAAGATTTAATAATTTGAATTTATTTTTGCAGGTTACATGCATGTATCCTTAACCCACTGAAAATAAAACAATTTGATTTAAGGTCACTTAGAGAAATATAAATTATTATTGATTTTTCTTGTTATTCTTTAGAAAACTTTGTAGTAATTTATCATTTATAACATAGGAGTGGTATCACTTGTATTCTTACACTATTATTTGACTGTCAAAAACTTTTCAGGAATGTAGTCGTAGTTCAGACATTCGCCATCAAGTACCATCTTATCTATATTTGTCTATTTATAAAGTCCATTTTGTACTGTTGTTTACAATTTACTAACACCTCATTTGACAGTGCTTTTAAGAAATTCTTACAAAATCATGCCTTTTAAATGCACGCATAATTAATAAGGCAACTATTATACAAAGAAACAAAAAATAAATGTATTTAAGGCACCAAAAGATTTGGAATTGTTTAAAAATGTAAACAAGCAATACAGCATGCAGATCAAGAACTGACCAATTATGGTTTATTTGGTTACTGCAACACAACACATGGGCAATCTATGAGAACTGACCGAACTCTATGACATTTGTGAAAAGCATTTTGCTTCACAACACATCCTTTGTTTGTGGAGAGTATACATAGTTGGAAAGGAAATCATCAATGCTCCTTATAAAACTCCTCAACAAACTAAGGATGTAGTGCCCAGTTTGTTTCCAAATTGCCCATCATACTTTTCTAAACACAGCAAACAACCTTGAAAAAGTCCTTTAATTATCTTTATTATAGTTTATAAACTATTTAACCAAACCCATAACTTAACGAGCAGTTATTTATTGTGAAATCATCACAATGCTGAACTGCAGTTTTTAATTATAGTAGTGGTCACCTCAAATTAATTAGTAGTGGTTTGCCCCTGTACATCATACTTTTCTTTTAACAATGGAGTCATGCCTGTCATCTGTTAACTCTTTCAAAGGAAAAGTTTTGAATTGAAATAATGTGACTTCCAGTTTGCATCAGAAGTTCTTATATAGTTAATCAGGGCCTCCTGCCCCTAAGGTTTCCCTATCTAGTCTTGTCTTTCATCTATCTAACTCCATTCTCGAGATTAAGGAAAGATGACAACATTGGGAATTTATAGGTCTACAATATTTTTAAATTGTAGACCAAAAACATACTGCTAGTTATCTCATTTTTCTACAGCAGTGTATAAAAATTATAACCAAATGTTTATACACATTACATATTGGTGGTTTTAATGGGGAATATAATTACATTAAAGGATAATTCCAAATAACAGACACCTTTAATTAACAAGCTTCCGGTCCTATATTTAATATCAGACTGGAAGCTTGGGCAGCAGGAGTTGCAGGTTTGAGTTCTGCTCAAGACCGATTTTCTTTTCTTTTCTTCCAGAATATTCTAAATTATTTAATTTAATTGTTTTTTCTGTCACAACTAGGTGCATAGACAGACATCGGGCATTTTTTACATCAATCTTTATTCAGGAATATCTTATGAGCCGATACACATTTCAGGCATATGTCCCTCTTCTGTCAGCTACTTAATAAAACATGAACATGAATTTTTCATATTATGATAGGTTACAATGTACTGTTTCTTTTTGAGATATCTTGGAAAGAGGTGTTAACTAATATACGTCTTGCTTAAAAGTTACATATATTTACAGTTAAAATTTCCCAGCATTACACTGAATGGTATTTTGTTTACACTTGTGATGTCTGTGTTTACTAAGTTCTTAATCTCGTTGGCATGTTAGAAAAATAAAATAATCTCTTTCTTTTTTTATTCATATTTTTAACCAATTTTTGTGAATATATTTAAATTTTTATTATTTTTTGGCTTTTTATAATTTCAAAACTTTCTTTAAATTTTCTGTTGTACCAATTTTTTTTCTTTGTGTAAAATCCTTACTTCTTCCTTGTTAATAATGCAATTATTTATTGTGCATTATTTGTAAAAGACTGAATTTACTCTTCTATATTTCAAATCAGTGATATGTTCTTTTAGTCTTACTCCTGCTTTCATTTTCATTTCTCCTATGTAATTTTTTGGGTTTTCACAAGTGCACGGTATGGAATAGACTACATTTGCTGTGCTATATGTATCTTCTATCTTATTACTCTGTTCAGGCTTTATTTTTTGTATTCTCTTTTTTAATTTTTTATAGGTTGGAGCAAGTTTTATATTTACTTTGTTAAAATCTCTCCTTTATATCAAAGGTTTCTTTGAAGAAATAAATAAAGCTATATATTACATGTTGGTGCCCTTGTTTTTTGTTGATGTTTATTGTTGATTTTACTTTCCCATTTTTGTATTCTTCTATTGAGATAACCATTTACAGTTGTCCCTTGATAATCCGACAGGTATGGGACCAAAGGTGTGTCAGATTACCGAAAATAATTACATATTTTGCATTGTTTTGCTAGCAGTAACTTACAATATTCTCTACTCCAACTGTTCAAACAGAACTGCTTACATAAAACACANTTCAAATTGCCCATCATACTTTTCTAAACACAGCAAACAACCTTGAAAAAGTCCTTTAATTATCTTTATTATAGTTTATAAACTATTTAACCAAACCCATAACTTAACGAGCAGTTATTTATTGTGAAATCATCACAATGCTGAACTGCAGTTTTTAATTATAGTAGTGGTCACCTCAAATTAATTAGTAGTGGTTTGCCCCTGTACATCATACTTTTCTTTTAACAATGGAGTCATGCCTGTCATCTGTTAACTCTTTCAAAGGAAAAGTTTTGAATTGAAATAATGTGACTTCCAGTTTGCATCAGAAGTTCTTATATAGTTAATCGGGGCCTCCTGCCCCTAAGGTTTCCCTATCTAGTCTTGTCTTTCATCTATTTAACTCCATTCTCGAGATTAAGGAAAGATGACAACATTGGGAATTTATAGGTCTACAATATTTTTAAATTGTAGACCAAAAACATACTGCTAATTACCTCATTTTTCTACAGCAGTGTATAAAAATTATAACCAAATGTTTATACACATTACATATTGGTGGTTTTAATGGGAAATATAATTACATTAAAGGATAATTCCAAATAACAGACACCTTTAATTAACAAGCTTCCGGTCCTATATTTAATATCAGACTGGAAGCTTGGGCAGCAGGAGTTGCAGGTTTGAGTTCTGCTCAAGACCGATTTTCTTTTCTTTTCTTCCAGAATATTCTAAATTATTTAATTTAATTGTTTTTTCTGTCACAACTAGGTGCATAGACAGACATCGGGCATTTTTTACATCAATCTTTATTCAGGAATATCTTATGAGCCGATACACATTTCAGGCATATGTCCCTCTTCTGTCAGCTACTTAATAAAACATGAACATGAATTTTTCATATTATGATAGGTTACAATGTACTGTTTCTTTTTGAGATATCTTGGAAAGAGGTGTTAACTAATATACGTCTTGCTTAAAAGTTACATATATTTACAGTTAAAATTTCCCAGCATTACACTGAATGGCATTTTGCTTACACTTGTGATGTCCGTGTTTACTAAGTTCTTAATCTCGTTGGCATGTTAGAAAAATAAAATAATCTCTCTCTTTTTTTTATTCACATTTTTAATCAATTTTTGTGAATCTTTATACTTAAATTTTTATTATTTTTTTGGCTTTTTATAATTTCAAAACTTTCTTTAAATTTTCTGTTGTACCAATTTTTTTCTTTGTGTAAAATCCTTACTTCTTCCTTGTTAATAATGCAATTATTTATTGTGCATTATTTGTAAAAGACTGAATTTACTCTTCTATATTTCAAATCAGTGATATGTTCTTTTAGTCTTACTCCTGCTTTCATTTTCATTTCTCCTATGTAATTTTTTGGGTTTTCACAAGTGCACGGTATGGAATAGACTACATTTGCTGTGCTATATGTATCTTCTATCTTATTACTCTGTTCAGGCTTTATTTTTTGTATTCTCTTTTTTAATTTTTTATAGGTTGGAGCAAGTTTTATATTTACTTTGTTAAAATCTCTCCTTTATATCAAAGGTTTCTTTGAAGAAATAAATAAAGCTATATATTACATGTTGGTGCCCTTGTTTTTTGTTGATGTTTATTGTTGATTTTACTTTCCCATTTTTGTATTCTTCTATTGAGATAACCATTTACAGTTGTCCCTTGATAATCCGACAGGTATGGGACCAAAGGTGTGTCAGATTACCGAAAATAATTACATATTTTGCATTGTTTTGCTAGCAGTAACTTACAATATTCTCTACTCCAACTGTTCAAACAGAACTGCTTACATAAAACACACNTTAGTCTTACTCCTGCTTTCCTTTTCATTTCTCCTATGTAATTTTTTGGGTTTTCACAAGTGCATGGTATGGAATAGACTACATTTGCTGTGCTATATGTATCTTCTATCTTATTACTCTGTTCAGGCTTTATTTTTTGTATTCTCTTTTTTAATTTTTTGTAGGTTGGAGCAAGTTTTATATTTACTTTGTTAAAATCTCTCCTTTATATCAAAGGTTTCTTTGAAGAAATAAATAAAGCTACGTATTATATGTTGGCGCCCTTGTTTTTTGTTGATTTTACTTTCCCATTTTTGTATTCTTCTATTGAGATAACCATTTAATTTAAATCTCTTTTAATTCTTTTATATACTTATTTCTATTCTGCATTGTACTTGTTCTATTTATAAATAGAACAAGTAACAATTATATTTAATAGTAATCAATGGTAAAAAATGGACTTGTAGNATTCTTGCTTTGTTTACTCAATACTATTCATAAGTGTATACAATTACTCAAACTCTTATTTATATTTAAATTAAATATTCTCAACTTTTTAAGTTTTCTACAGGGTTTTTATATGAAAATAATGCTCCATACAAAATAATTTTGAAATATATTTTATATATATAGCCTATTGTGTAAAGAGATCCTATGTATAAAATTTTATAAAGGGGAAAAAACTTACAAAAATGTTTAAAAATTAATTTAATTAAACTTTAAATGGTTCTAGAAAATGGCAGTGAATGGCTAGCCAAAGATGGGATTACTGCTCCTAAAAAATTAATTTTAATAAAAAACAAAATGAAAATTTCTTTATCATCAATTTTAACTTAAATATAATACTGTTTTAAAGTAATACTGTATTTACTCTAAAAACCTTAATGTTAGTCAAATGCAAGTCATGGGTGATTGAAGTAAGATAGCGTGCAAAATAACGTAACAGTACATCATTCTAATAAAAGATCTCTAATTAAAGTTATTGTGGTGTGACAGATTTTTTTTTTCTTTTATTTTTTTTTTTATAATGAAACAAGAGCTAGTATGTTTCACATCATTCTTACATAAAAACCTTTTTTTTTTTATGACGTGAAACATGTGACATTCAAAACTATACTTACGAAAATCGACTCATTAACTAAAGTAATAATAACTATAGCCGTCTGTGTAATTAGATTGTANTTACAAAATATAATTTGGCCTAATCATTTGCATTTGGCATACATTACAGAACATTAGGTAATATGTATGGGGATATGTCTGGAGAATCTGTTACAATATAATAACAAAAACAAAAATTTTCTTGTCAATATAGTCAAAGGCACACAATGTGAAAGTCATGACAAGTGTTCAAGGATAGCTGGAGCCTAGTGTTGGTAGACTTCTTATCAAACAAAACAATCAATGCAGACTATTTAGGTGCCTTAGGGGACCAAAAATTACTAGGCATCATTTGGGGATATGTGAACAAATAACAATTGATATATCTTTGACATGTAGGTTTGATAGCAAACATAAAATAGATTTCATCCTATTTATAATGAGTTTAGAAAGGGCTCAACAAATTATGTATTAATAGNACACTTTAATTTAAATTTCTCTTTTAATTCTTTTATATACTGTACTTATTTCTATTCTACATTGTACTTGTTCTATTTATAAATAGAACAAGTAACAATTATATTTAATAGTAATCAATGGTAAAAAATGGACTTGTAGATCATCACAACATCTGGTGGATACTCAAATAATCTCAACCACTTCATAACATCCTTGAATGGAGAGTGGTATCACCTGTACTCTTACACCATAATTTATAACATTAATTAGTAATGATATTTAATGCAAAATTATTTCAAAATATACATAGTAGTTAATAATTGTTTCAAAAAAGAATAACGAAATTTTCCTTGATAAAAATATGAAGGGGGAGACGATCTGATCGAAGCATTTGAACAGGTAAATTTGAAAATAATTATTTAATCTAAGTATGATTTATTTGATTTTTATAAATATTTTCTTATTTAAATATTTTGGTTTACAAAAGTCAATAAATTCTGCACAACAGTATTGTGCATATCCAATTACTATTCATTTTACTTTAAGCACATGAATACTTTAATATTTTTAACTTTTGAATTGGAAGTTAATCAATAATGTTTTTAATAACAAAAGACATTTTTAAAATATAAAATATGAAGTAAACTTTGAACAAAATGATGCATATTTCATTGATTAAACAACTAGAGCCAGATTAGCTTCTTAGAGTCTGAATGTAAATTAATAAATGCTTAGACCAAATTTTATTGTTTATCTTTACAAAATATAATTTGGCCTACATTACAGAACATTAGGTAACATTTATGGGGATATGTCTGGAGAATCTGTTACAATATAATAACAAAAACAAAAATTTTCCTGTCAATATAGTCAAAGGCACACAATGTGAAAGTCATGACAAGTGTTCAAAGATAGCTGGAGCCTAGTGTTGGCAGACTATTTAGGTGCCTTAGGGGACCGAAAATTACTAGGCATCATTTGGGGATATGTGAACAAATAACATTTGATATATCTTTGACATGTAGGTTTGATAGCAAATATAAAATAGATTTCATCCTATTTATAATGAGTTTAGAAAGGGCTCAACAAATTATGTATTATAATAGTTGGGTCAATAATCCTCAGACTCATAAATGAAGAAACAGAAAACTATTAATGCCTTTTATTAATAAAATGTATATAATATACATTTATTTTACAAAGTACAAAGCCACATTGCACCACACACTTTCACTTATGGCAGACAAAGTCTTCAAATGCTCAGAAATTTGGTCATTTCTTCCTTCAGTTCAGAACAGCACCTACTACTCAAAATTAGTGAGGTCTGCAAATTGTGTCAGAAATTAAAAACAGTTCCAAAGCACACACCCACATTCCCCAAACAGCTACGATCACTGTCTGTTTCAAGAGACTGGGAGGAAAACTTGGATTTGATACCTTTCGTCAGTTGATAGGTGACCAAATTTTTGAGCACCCTGCCTCCAACATTCTTCAAAAAGGCATTTCAGGATTTTGTCCACACTAGAAAAAGTATGCAGAGTAAAATTGAAAAATAAATATATATAAAAATGCCTTTTATTAATAGAAAGTGTAATAGTTTAGTTTCTCCATCCATGTGAGTCAGAAGACTTATTGACCCAACTACATAAGCTAATTTTGGAAAGGTCTGGAATCTTTTGATATAAATCATCTGTACTGAATATTGCAAAGTTAATATCTTTTTTGTGCATGCAAATTTCCCATCAATTTGGATATTTTTGATTTGTAAACTTTTCATAATACAAAGATCTTAATTATCCAGTTATGGTTGATACATGTTAATACTAGAATATTTGTATTAATGTAAATTTTGTTTGTTTTATTAGATTTAAATGTTCTAAACCGTGATATAGCAAAATCTGTTAAAGCACAAATGAATACTTATTTATGGGAAAGAGATTTTCCATTTAATATGAACTCAGTATTTTTGAATTACTAATTGTATTGCAAATAATAATGAGAGATGGAAAACTCAAACTTGTGGAAATACCTCATTACGACATTTAATTCTTATTATTTGGGACTCGGTTTAGTGTCAATTTTAGAAAGCAACCAAATGATGGCACTTGATCAAAGTTTTGACTGTAATTTGTTTGATAATCTTCAGCATAATTATTTTTGTTTAATTCATGATTACTTAATACATTACTTTAATCATTTGAAAATAAATTGTCATATTCATATAAATTTAATGCTGTTTGATAAAAATCTGCCTTTTTTGTACTTCTGTAACTATAGTCTTAGTTGAATTGTATTTTTAATTTTATACTGTAATAAGTGAAAAGATATGTTTAAAATCAGTACATATAACTAGAAATTATTTTTATAGGTTGGTGTTGCAATGTTTGGTTATATGACAGAATTAGAATATGTAGAAATAAAGATGACAGGAGATATAGAAGCTGAAGGTATGGACAACTTGAAATAAAATTCTTTGCTAATACACATTTAAAATTTTTCTCATACAAATTGATAAAAATTTTAAGATTTATTTTCATTCAGTTGCAAACAGCATTATTTATGATAAAAAAAATAATTAATTTGACCATTTCTACTCTCACTTCCTTATATAAAGATTTGTTCATTAGAAATGCATTTCTAACTTTTAGTTTTTAATATTTAATTCCTCTCAAAACATGAATTATTGGATCATTTTTGAGTGATATAGTTAGCCAGTTTATAAAATAAACATGTTGAGGAATTTCCCAAAAAAAGCATTCTGTAAATCTTGGGACAAGATTTTAATGTTTTAATGGCATTTACCTAAACAACTCTGTTATATAAATTTGTGTCCATTCCATGCTTAGATAAAAGAGAAAATTTAAAATAACATCAGAAGAAATCTGAAAAATTTCATCATACTATTATAAAAAATATATATTTTCCTTAGCTAACTGATCTTTATCCAACAAGCATTTTCCTTGTAATGACAGATGTTCTTGACAATGCCAGAGAGAGAAAGAATTATGCAATTAATTACATTGATGTATCATTCTAAATATAGTGTGTGTTCTCATGGGAGTCATGGAACACAACTCCCAAAAACCTCAATAGGCAATATCATCATTATTCTAACTGAAAAAGCTCCTTTTTTCATATGTTCAAGAACCTTAATTACATATGACAAAAGAAAATTTCTCAGCTTGGAGACAGTATCAACTTCTTCCAACTATAATACTTTTTTTTATTCATTTCAAATCATATTGAGAGAAAATGCAATAAATATAACAGTAGTTAACCACATACATACATGTGAATAAATTATTTTCATTTATATTTTTCAGCGGACGATATGTTAGGTCTATTATTCCATTATCTGGATGAATTTTTGTTTCTTTTTAGTGCCGAGCCCTTTTTTATTCCTAGGGTAAGTACACAACTGTAAATTTTAAATTTACATAATGTAGTGTTTTTGATTTTTCATTTTATTTCAGAAAATAAAAATTTTAGAATTTGACAGGGAAAATTTCAGGATTAAAGCCAGAGGGTAAGAAAATTTTTGAAACTATATATTACAGTTTAAATCATGCCAACTTCTCTTACAGATATGGTGAAGTATTTGATTTAGATAAACATCCACAGGTAATCATAGTAGAATATTTCTTTTGTTACAATTGCTTGTAGCTTAATGTGTATTACTATATTTTTTAGGGTACAGAAGTAAAAGCCATCACTTATTCCAATATGCAAGTTCACGATAACGAAAATCAGCACGAAGTGTTTGTTATAATAGACATATAGAATTAAAGTATTTTTCTGTTTTTTTTTTATTTGAAACAACTTAATCATCAGTATAGAAAATTCAAAATGACATTTCTCTGCTGGGTGATATAACAACAACTCAAATATGACACAAAAGTTGCTGGAATGTGATGTTTTACAAACAAAAACTTGCACTGGAAGGCATCAACTCTCCTACTCAACATGTTTAAATGCAATCTGCAATTGTGATAAAAAAACAGCTTTAAAAACCCACATATGTAAAAAAAAAAATACAAGTGCATCAATTGATTTCTTACTTATTTTCTGGTTGATGCCAGTTTACTTAGGAGATTATGTCCCGATAAAAAGGTTACCACACCCAACGCTAACAGATATTTTAAAGTGGTAAACATGTTCCACTTCAACCAAAACATGGTAAATAAGCCAAAAATTGCTGTAATAAAGAAATTATTATTATTATTATAAATGTATTATTTTTTTGTTCATTTATACTTTAAATAGCCTACCTGCTAATCCTAGATGAAACCCTATGGCACTCAGGCTTAAAGGGAAGTTAGAGATATTGACACCCATTCGCCCCCACTGTAAGACCATTTTATATTATTGCATGTCAAAATTAATAATAATAAATTTCTAACTTACCAATATCAATAGTAGCAAAAAAGGAACTAGCAATAATCCACAGAATGTATTTGAAACCACTGCTGGAGGTGTTTTTTCTTGTTCTCTAAACATGTGCTGAAAAAAATATTTTTTTATTAATACAAATTTGAGAGTATAATTCAATGTATTACATCATCATAAATAAGGTTTTGACCAGAGAGAGAGAATTTGATATTAAATATATCAATAAAAAGGAATTTCAACAATTTACAGTTCTTCACATGATTATTTTTTGAATTAATAGAAAGAATTTTAACTAAATAAAACAATAATAATCTGTCTATATAAATTATTATTAGACACACTTTTTTGGATGCTATTATCTGCATTAGGAATTTAATAATGTACAAAAATCAAATTTTCATCTTGGTATTTTAACATCGCAAATATTAAGTACATGATTATCCCAAACAACTTTTGTAATATTTTATTGGTATTTGACAGTAAATGAAGGGACATACTAACAACAGTTAACTTGTATTTTGTCAGTTATTTACTTATGAACAACAAATCTTCCATATTGAGTATACATTAAAAAAACCCCAATTATTGTGCCAACTCAATTAATTAATGCCAGTAAAAATTTCTGGAATTCCTTCCCCCCTAAACAGTTTTGAATTAATCATGCTAGTGAAATTTTCAGTGTGTCTCACCCACAGCAAGTAGCAAGGAGTCGTCACTTCCTGCTTTTAAATCTGTTGCTCTTCCATGTGAGTAAATGAGCAGTCATTTTGATTAAAGAAAAAACATGAAATTTATTTATACAAAGAGAACACTTCATTTTTGTGTATGAAAATCAGTCACAGATGCATTTGGACACATCTTAGATCTGCTAAACAAGAGAATCTTAATTAAAGATGCCCTAGTAATCTGGATTAGACAAGTTAATGCCAAGTATGGAAATGTAAAAGAAGTTGTAATCATAGAAGAAACAAAAGAATTTGGAAGACAGATGGTTAATTACAGACTCCAAATATATCAAGAGTGGTTGACAAAATTGAAGCATCATGGACTTTCACAGTGAAACAGCAGAAGTGGATGGTCAGGTATGATATCAGGCTCATGAAACATTCTCAGATATGATTATAATCATTTTGCAACTCATACTATCTAATGTGGATGAAAGTGGATTGTATTACTGCTTGCAGCCAAACAAGAATTTCCTGTGGTCCCATAAAAGACATGTAAATCTATCTTGTGTTTACTTACATCGTTTTTTTTTGTACAAATGCAGATGGATCTGACAAGAGTCACAACAGTTAGTGGGAAAACTATATGTCTACAATATTTCAAGCATTTTAATCCAAACCTTTATGTGAATTGGCTTCATAATTGAAAGGTTTGGATGACTGCAGTTAAATTTAGTAACTGGCTCAAAGCATTTAATGGAATCTATGAGATGTCAGAACCATGAGGAGGATAATGATGAATAATGCACCATGCCATAAAGCAGAGAAGTTGAGTAATGCGAGAATTCATTTTTTTCTTCCCAACCGTACAAGAATACTTCAACTTCAACCCTTAGATACCCAGTAATTATCCGATGCTTTAAGGCACGCTATAGACATTTCCAGGTGAAGTGCTTCATTGAATGCATTAACAATGACAAGCCAGTTACTGCTTCAGTAAAGTATGTTCTTTTCATGATTGAATGTTTCTCGAATGGGGTAACACCTGAAACAATCCAAAATTGTTGGAGCACCACAGGGTTAATTCCATCAGTTCAGAGTTCATTAGAGCAAAATCATATGGTAGAAGAGCTGACAGATGTTTTGAACCAACTTCAAGCAACAGCATCATTTAAAAATTCTTAAGAAATGAACACAGAAGAGATGCTGAAAACTGCAAAGCATAATGAGACTGAAGTGCAACATCTGCTAAAGAAGCAAAAGAAAGAATTAGAATCACTGTGTTGATTCACAGTGCTTGTAATTGATATTGATGAATATTGATCACTGATATTGATGAAATCAGTAAGCATAAAAAGTACAGTCATTAATACCAGATTTCTTTGTCTCAAAATACAGTAGAGCTTTGATTATCTGAATGCTGATCAACTGAAAGCGTTCCAGTCAGCAAATTCAAATTTCTGTTAGTGCTGTGGCGCTGCAACATTTGGCAATGTCTTGGGCTACTCCAATATTATTTTTGTTGCTGTGCATATTTTAGCTGGCAGTACTGGCATGACCATGAGAGGGTACTTAATTAAGGATGCGCCAAGATTTAAACAAGGCTTAATTTTCCCATCATGAGTAGCGAGTTTTGCTTGTTTTGTGTGGTGTTTTTCTGAGGACTGTGTCAGGATGGGTGTCGTACTGAATCGGAACATTTTTGATACTAGATTAAAAACAAAAATAATTAAATTTTGGAAGTTATATTTTTCAATATATTTATTTTGTTTGTGCAAAATAAAGAAATAATTTTTAACAATACCATAATCACTATTATTATTTTTAAAAACATTTTCATTAAGATTAACATTGACAAAAATTCAACAGAGAAAAATTTCAAAATGGGATAGATTAATATATTTTTTCATACATAATCAGTTATCCGAACAACCCCAGTCCGGAATTGTTTTGGATAATTGATGCTCGACTGTACATAGAAAACATTTTTATTGTGCATATTTTACTTGATCACCTCTAAAGCAGAAATAGAGTTGAAGTGTATTTATTTACATGTTATACTGAATTTTCTCTTCTTTAGAAGTACACATTTTTCTAATTTTAAAATAGTTTCACCCTTGTATAGTGCCAAAAAAAGAAAAAGAAAATAGACAGTGGTATACTAATGAGAGTTAACCTACTTCAATTTGAAATTTTGTTTTAGTGTTCATTTTTGTATGAGGATATACCTAATAATGTTTTGTAGAAGATAAAGGTCATACAATTTGTTTTTTGAAGTCAAGTTGAAAACTAAGGTCTCGTTACCAAGGTAATGTAAAACAGGTTCAAAATACCTAGGCTAGCCAACTCACAAAAAACTTCATATAGTAGAAGTTATGAATGTGAAATTAAAAAAAAATTATTTTCAGTTACATGAAATTTGGTCTCTGTGGTATGGATAAGAGAAGAGACCAAACTATGCAGCTGAAAAAATAGTTAAATTAATTATATATACACAAAATTTACTATATATCTTCAAATGTAGTCAAACAATAAATACTGCAAATAAATTATAAATGCACAATTCTTGATGTGGTACCTAAAACACAACCAAGTTTCTGGATTATCTGAAAGACCCCCAGGTAATTGAGTTTCCATTATATATGACTCAGATTGCCAATTTACTGTAATTTCATATGGCTAATCTGCAGATTATGTGATGGATGGATTATTTATTTGATAAATTCATAATTGCAAGTTAAAATAAAATTTTCTTTCATTTAAAGTGTAAAAAAAATATTTTACTTGGAGCAGATGTTTATCTACCATCAATTTTTTTCTGAAACCACACATACGTGCGTATCTTGCCTCTGGTTATTTCATTCATTTTCTATGTATCATTCTGTTTTAATTGATTTCAATGTGCACTCCTATTTGAACTTTTATCTGAAAAGTTGAGAAGTTTCTAATAATTTTGCCAACTGACACCCATTCATGCTCAATACCAGTAGTTCATACAAAGTGGCAATGAAGAAGGCTGACTCTCTTCCCCCATTCTCTTATATCCCTCTATAAGTCTGTATTTTTCTTAATCCTGGAATATATATATTTTATTATTTTTTTTTATTGACTTGAATTTCCTGACACTAGGTGAGCAAGACAACCCCAAACATTCCCAGTAGTCCCTGGATTGATTGTATTAAGCAAACTTTACAACAAAGTGCTAATTTTTAAAACCCTATATGTGGGGTTTGACTGTATACATGATTTGTATCATATACATGTGAGGTTTAGACATGTAACATTCCTAAACCATTAAGACAATAAATTTGTGAGGGAAGATGACAGTTTGTGATGGCACAAAAGACGTTATGAATGCCAGAATGCCATCATCGTTCTATCCATAAGACTGTTGGAAGATTTAGCTGAACACTGGAAGATTATTGTTACTTCTATTTCTATCATTATTCTTATATACATATGATGTTTATTTCTGTCACTTATTATTTGATAAAGTAACCAATAAAAAAATTGTTGTTCAGCAGCAATTTCGTATTTTCAACAGTTAGGAAGTTTAGGAGTTTGTTTCAATATTGTACTTTATTTATTAGCAGTTCATTTTAACATTAAAACAAAAATAATGGTTTAAGATGGTATTTTTTTGTCTAGACTGCATACTATTAAGTATGATGCTTTCAATGAAAGTGTGAATTAAAAGATTTTAGTTATATTCTAGCAATTTTCCACACATTATACACCACTTCAAGTCATCCACATGAAAGAGAATAACCTGATATTAAGTATAACAAGCATGTATCTATGCTATTTTTATTGTACTTTATTTTGCCATAAACAAATTATTCTGTTACTGCATAAACATGAAGAATATTAAATAATAATTGAAAAATCTTACTTTTATTTCTGCTTTAACAGCATAAGGATTCTCTTTGGCTTTAGGAGGATTTGGATGAGGAGGAAAGCTTAAAATAATTTCACTCTGAAATGATTAATTGAAATTATGTATTAAAATATTTATGAATTCTTTACTTAACACAAATTTCTAATTAAATTTTTCTAAAGCAGGTAAATTAATCAATGTTTAGAAGATTTCAGATATAAAATATTAATACATACAAGTAACTTTTAAAAATACTAAATTAAACTATTTTTAACATCATAAAAACATTAAAAAAATTTTTCTAACCAAATTTCCACACTAAATTTTATTCAATACTAGATAATGAATGTAAATTGTAAAAACAAAAATATAATATTTAAAATTATCAAAAACTATTTTCAAGAAATTTTAGTACTTAAATTTTACAAGAAAATTTACAGCCAAAAAAAATTATAGCTTGTGTATAGTAATCTAATATTGGCTCTTATGCCAATATTAGATTTCTTAAGATTCCAGCATATGTTGAATCAGCATAAAGAGAATATATTTATTTCAAGGGAATGAGTTCCAGATAAATATATCCTATATATCAGTCTCAATTTTTTCTTTTGTAACTAGTGTGTGAAATGTACAAATTTCTTACAATAACATTACATTATGTTGAATTCTGTAATAAAATATATACACAGACATTAAAATAAGGAGGAGAACTTAGTCTCTGTCTGGGGATAATCTGCTATATTTATATCAATTGGAAGCACTTCAAATTTTATTATAATAATAAAGGAAACTTGTTCAATTTGTTTATCTCCTCCTATAAAACATACTGGTAAGACAGAAGATAAGGGGAATCATTACAGTCTTTCTAAGTGATCCTACATTGAACAATTGTTCTAATTTCTAATTTTACATGACCAGTAGCATGGTGTGATCTTTCTTTAGTAGTTAGAACATGGGTATAGAATTTTCAAAAATTTTTGAGAAAAATAACATAATTAAAATATTTTCAAACAAGCATATATTCATTAACATATCAGAGATCCATATACTAATATATATATATACTGTATATGAACAACATTAAACTAAGTATACTACAGATGATGATTAAATGTCAAAATTTACAAACTTTTTAATAAAAAAAAAATTACAAATTTACTGATAAAATTTCACACAAATTGTAAATTTTTTACAATTTTCAAATTCTTTTAAAATTGATGATGTTACTGATGTGGATATTCTCTTCTAAAAGTGATTTTATTAAAACATTTCCAAGCCATTCATTGGATAGTTTGTTGATGAAAAAATTTATATATAAATTTAAAGTATTTTTTTAAGAGGCAACAATCCAAACAATTTTTAGATAATTAAACTACATGTAAGACAGAATCATACTCTAAAAATCCCTGAAGTTTTTCAAACACCTCATTCTATCAAAATGTAGTATAATTATTGTTGACACAAATATAATAACATGTAAAAAAATTGTGGGTTTGAAAACAAACAATGATTTGTTTTAATCGTATAATTTAAAATTTTCTACAAAAGCACAGGGTGATGCTAAAATCTTACAATGGTTTAAATCTAACTATAAGGAAAATCATGGCAGGAAAATAAATATTGTTATACTAAGTACAAATATGATCTCATTTCAATTAATGATCATTCATGTTAACAGAGCTGAACATAAACTAAGTGAATATATAGATAACCGTTATTTTTTCATTTAATTTTGCATAAAAATTAACCTGATGCATGTAAGTTTACTAATTCAGTAACTTAAATTATAGCAAGATTGAGGCAAAAAACTTTGGTGTAAAAATATAATTTTTATTACATTTTTACATCAAAACATTTTTGTATGCTTATACATTTTTATGTGTAAGCATACACATGTATAAAATTACAGAAAAAATTTTTATCTATTAATTTTTAGTTAGTTTTCTAACTTTATATACTGTTTAGATAAGTTGTGAATATAAGAATATAAGTGTATATAAAGAAGTTATTCTGTACTTATTTTTGCTTTTGTAATCAGAATATGTCCTAAATGCAAAAGAGTTTGGCCATGCCTGGTTTAGATAATGATAAAAATATTCAAAACTATATAATATTTTAAAATAGTTTATAAGGTATTTTAGGTAATGACTATAATATAAAGAAATACATGAAAATGCTGAACTTACAGTTTTCCAAACAAAAGGATTTGCTATGACAGCATCGCCAACAATTAAAATTAAATCATATTTTCCTGAAGCATAATCAAATTCCTTGGCTTTGCCATTAACATCCTATTTAAAAATTAAAATTAACATAAAGAAAAAAACAATAGAATGAATATGGGAATTTATCAATTTAGCATTAAAAAAAATTCATTTAAAATGTATAATTTTTTTCTACCAAATCAAATTTATAAACTCCAGCAGTATCCGGCTCTGCTACAAATACTATTTGCTGTTTAGTTTTCTGATTTTCTAATTGGACAAATACTTGATGTGCATTCATTATATCACCAGCAATTTTATCTTTCAGTGTAAACTTCATGATAAGTTTTTGATGATAATCTGCTTCAAGAGATGTAGCTAGCTGTTTATTAAATTCCACTCTAAAAAAATATATTTTTAAAAATTATTTTATAAATTACAATGTTTTAAATAGTTTAAAAGTAATTATCATGTATTCATTACTTTGTAGTTTTTGCAGCTGTTGTTTGATCTCTATCAACCAAACCAATTTCTATATTTTCAATTCCAACTTCTGTCATCACTTTAACATGAATCTAATAATTTAAAGGATTTTATTATACAATGATTAATTTGAAACAACAAAATAAAAAATTACCTACCAATACTCCTACATTTCCAATGAGTCTTTGATCTGGTTTACTTGGCACTGCACTAAGAGAGATTTTATAAAATCCACGTAAGGGCTTTTTCTCCAAGAAGTTCAAGACATAATGGGTGCTGGAAATCAAAATTTTAAAGTCAGAATAATATAAATATCAAACATTTTGGTATTAAGATCAACTTACGTGTCTCCTTTTACAGGCGTGAATGGCGTTTTACTCATGATGACAGCATTATCCTCCAGACGAGTGGCCGCATCAGCCACGACATGCAATGCACCTAGAGAGGCACCCAATACATTTGTAACCTGAACCTGTACATTAGGATTCTGAGATGATAGTGCTCTATTGCTAGCAACAGTCACAGCCACAGGAATATGGAACTGGCAAAAAAAGAAACACAACTTTATTAAATAAAGAATATGTATTTAACATATCAAATTTACATAGAAAAGAAATTAACATATAAAAATTCTAATACTTGTTTTTACATGCATATTAGCTTGTTAAATTGTTATATCAAGCTTACTTATCTAAAATAATCCAATGTGTAATGTTCAATTAACAAAATTTAACAAATCCAGCTTGCCTTAACCTTATACTTTTTTTTTTTTATTAATAATAAAAACATCTAATTTTTAAAATAAAAATATATGAATACCTAACTTACTTTATTTTCTGTTAAGATTTTCAGCATATCTAATAATAAAGCTGCACCTTTAACAGTTTGTACAAACTTCCTGCTCAGGAAATAATTTGTAAATTTGATTGCTTGGTCCTAAAATGAAACATACATTATATTATAGATGTTTAAAGTAATTTAATTTGTACANAGAAATTAACATATAAAAATTCTAATACTTGTTTTTACATGCATATTAGCTTGTTAAATTGTTATATCAAGCTTACTTATCTAAAATAATCCAATGTGTAATGTTCAATTAACAAAATTTAACAAATCCAGCTTGCCTTAACCTTATACTTTTTTTTTTTATTAATAATAAAAACATCTAATTTTTAAAATAAAAAATATATGAATACCTAACTTACTTTATTTTCTGTTAAGATTTTCAGCATATCTAATAGAGAGGTTGCAGCCGATGTTTTCAACACAGAAACGTGTACGTCGGACGTTCAGTGCCGCCTTCCTGTGAGCCTAGAAGTTTGACAATGGCATTTGGAACATCAGTGGAATCATGCACGTTCCAAACGCCATTGTCAAACTTCTAGGCTCACAGGAAGGCGGCACTGAACGTCTGACGTACACATTTTTGCGTTGAAAACATAGGTCGCAACCTCTCTAATAATAAATTTGCACCTTTAACAGTTTGTACAAACTTCCTGCTCAGGAAATAATTTGTAAATTTGATTGCTTGGTCCTAAAATGAAACATACATTATATTATAGATGTTTAAAGTAATTTAATTTGTACAATATGTTTACATACATTAGAAATAGCTGGTGCTTTCTTAGCAGCTTCTGCAAGTCTGTATGCTCCACTTATTATAGTTGCAGTTATTGTCAGGCCTCCTTCAAACTAAAATAAATTGTTTATTAAAATTTAAAATTAACATAACATAATTTATTTTCTTTATTACTTTAGTTAAAAATTTTCAGTTATAAATTTACATTTTATTTTGAGTACGACTAAGTCTATTAAACTATTATATTGCATTTTATATAAATCATGTTCTGTTTTCATAGTAATTCGTGTATTTTTCCATTTTCCATAATGTTTCAACAATATTTAATTAACACAAAATGTAAACATACAAGTTTATATTGTTAAATTTGATTTTTTAAAGCAATAAAACGTAGACAAGTTCAATTTATTGCAAAATTAACTTTAATGAATTAAAGTGAACTGAATTTTTCTTATGAGAAACTAGCCCACAATGGGCTATATATCTGGCCTTAATTTTGTCTATTTTTGGAAGATGACTCAAAACAGCATTGGACAATATCAAATGTGAGATGAGGAATGATTTTCCAACTTAAAATAAATATAAAAGTATCACAGAAAATTGGATTCAAATTTGAATTAACAATGACCATAGAAAAATCTTACTAGGCTACTATTCTGCCATTTTAACTTCAATAAAATAAAATTATAAAGCCAAATAAACTTTGAAATTATCAGGCTATAATGTGGCTATGTAATTATTTAAAGACTAAATAATTTGTCTAAAGGTAGGCAGTTATGTGCCATCTCATGCTAACTTTAATAATTATAATAAATTAAATTATATAAAATATAAAATTAAATTAGTCACATTATAGCCTAAAAATTCATCAGTTCTTTTGGTTTTACTAAAATTTGGATTTGAGTTGATGTTCATACAAATAAAATTATTTCATTAGTTATGGATATTTGTTCACTAAACATACTGAAACATAAATTATATTTAATTCATACTTTTTTTTTAATTAATATACATACAGTCAGCCAGCCAATTAATGTTTGGAATGAATCATGCATATTTTACATATTTGAATGGCATTTAGAGAAATTTTATGAGTTCTACAAAAACCCAATGTACATAAGTTGTACATTTTTTACCAGTATTTATGCTACAGATAGTTTCCACTTACGTCATATTATGTCAAAATAATTATAAAAAAATTACTTGCAAAACTTTTTATAAATTTAAATCAATGAGTGATTAAAATAACTACATAATTACTTTATTCAACACTCTTCACCATTATCATAATGAATTACAGCAGAGCGTCAATTATCCGAAAGTCAATCATCTGAAAGAATTCCAGTAGGCAAATTTAAATTTTCACCAGTGCTGTGGTGCTGCAATCTTTGGCTATGTCTTGGGCTACTCAAATATTTTACGTTTTTGATACTAAATTAACTTCTGAAGTATAATTTTTTATTGTTTTTATATTTTTCAATATATTTATTTTGTTCGTACAAAATAAAAAAATAATTTTTAACGATACAATAGTCTTCGTTAGACTTAACATCGATGAAAATTCAATGCGAAGCGACACGCAACGGAGAAAAATGTCAAGATGGGATAAATTAATATATTTTTCGTACATAATCGGTTATCCGAAACATCGATCTTCCAAACAACCCCAGTCCCCAATTGATTCAGATAATCGACGCTCTACTGTATATAATTATAAAATAATACAATTAAAAATCTGTATAATAATGAGAATCTTATTCAGATATATTAATGGATTAGTAAATATGTTTAAAGTAACAAAACTAACTGAAAGTTTACCATTAAGATCCAAACAATATAACAAATAAAAGTAACTTTGACAGCCAGATGGCTGAGTGATTATGATTGCAACTTATCACTTTGGGAAACATGGGATTTGCAAAAATCCAGGAATTTTTCAGAATCTCCCCATGTGGTCCTAGCCAAATTTACAATGGACTTACTAAAAAAACAGCCCTCTTAGTGCCCACAGAACAAAGTTATAAAGTCATATTTTGATAAGAAATTTCATTTTGAAATCAAACTTTATTAAATTGCATATTTTAGTTTTAATCTGTATATTTAAAACTTACGATGAACCATTATATTACATGTATAACACCTTATAATCTTATAAAACCATTGTCAAATCATTTGAATAATTTCTGAAAATGGCATAAAAACTTAGATTTGTCTATCAACTTGAATATTTGATATTACATCACATTTCAAATAAAATTATATAACTGATAGATAAAATTACAAATTAGCGTACTATAACCTACTTGTAAATATTTTCCATCTACTTCATCTGCTTGAACAATAGCATCTTCAATTCTTTCAAAAAAAGGAGTTAAATCTCCTTGTAATTGTGAAGCAATGTGGAAAGCATATCCTAAGCTGTAAAGATTATTAAAAAGATAAATCATTATTACAATAGTCATAAAAATCAATTTTATTTTACTTTTTATCATCACTTACTTTAATACACTATCATCTTTCTTTAAAGCCGATGTCAATGCTTTAGTCACTTTATTTGAATCAACTTAAAAGAAAAATTTTCAATTTATAAATGGGAATGAAATTTTATCATCAAGATATAAAATTTTTTAGCATAAATTTACCTGCTAAAGCAAGATTTTTCAATGATAAAACTGAAAAATATAGATCGTGTACTGATGCATCATCTTTAATTGCTGCTTCTAATATCTGATGTAATCCTGCTGCAGGTAACTAAAAAAATTTTGAAATCATTCAAGTCAAATTTCAATATAAAATAAAGTGAAATTAATATAACATAGATGTATGCAATATATATATGTAAATATTACTATACCTTGCAATCTAGTAGTTTGTTTATTCCTGTAGCATGGTACACAGATTCTAAATTTTTTGAATCCAATTTGGATTTTACAAGATTACATGTTTCCTAATTTGAAAAAAAATGTCAAATTTATTTAATAAATTAAATAATATAAAGCTTTTTAAATAAAAATACTATACCTGAACATTAGGAAATTTCTGTGAAAGAAGTGTGTGACCTAAAATTGAATAATATGCTACAGATAAATCAGCAAATGGCCACTGAGCAGAAAAGATTCCTCCCAACCTTGTACGATCAGTTGACGTTATATACGTTGATGGTGAGGGAGTCTGACCAGCAACATAAATCACAAACATAAACAACAACCAAATACCTGAAACAAGATTACACATTATTTACAAATTAATATATGATTTGCATATCTGATATGCATATATTTTTTTTTTACACAATAATAGTCTTACTCCATAGTTTATTCAGCATTCAGTAACACCTAATTGTTTTTCTATTTTCATTTTATAAATTCATATTATTAATAAAAATATTTATTTCCCATTTCATTATTTTAAATTTTCAAATTTTTATTAACTATTTTCAATTGAAATACAATTGTTGATAGACTACTTATGTAAGCTAAAGATGGTGAACCTTTTTGAGTCCATATGCCATATACTGTTAGTATAATTATCTTTGAAAATATAAATGTCAAAGTTGTAGATTTTGAATAATGATATTTAAAGAAATGAAATAAAAATGCTTTAATTAGAATAAATGTAAAGAAGCTGAATGAAAAAGATGGACAATAAACTGAAATCGTGTGACATGTTACATGCCAGATGATTCACCAAATGTGCCACAGATTTCTTTCCCATAAGCTGTATAGCCTGTATATGAAAACACAGTTAACCATCATATATAACAGAAACTTACTACTAACCAATTTAATAAAAAATATTTTAGTTAACAATTTAGAATTTATTCTTATAATTGTGTGAAATTCAAAATGTAATTTTCCATACAGTATGCAGAAATAATTCAATATCAATATTCATTTATAACTTCTCATATTTGAATCTGCATAAATGAAACTAAATAGCTAAATGGCCAAGAAAGTTAAAGTAAGCCTACTGCGCTAGTGACTCAAAATGTAATCAAACTCATCAAGAATTTTTCATGAGTGGTCTCATCCCAGATATGGGTGGCCATAGGGCCACACACATCTGGATGGCCAAATGCACAATGGAAATAGAAAAAAGACATACTTAACATCCATGAGATCTTTTTTAATAAGATAAACAACAACATTTATCTGTAATATATATTGCAAATAAAAAATGTGTTCATTTTATTATTATTGTTTGATGTAAAATTATATATATACAGGTAACCCCCGTATAACACGGTAGTTACGTTCCAAAAAATTGCCATGTTATGCGAATCCGTGTTATACAAAACAAAGAACTAATACGAAAAGGAGGGTTAGGTTCCAAAAATTAAAAAACATGCTAGTATATTTTCATAATTAAGATAAATATCTTCATAAAAATTTTTTAAGTGATACATATTAATATAAATTAAACAACGTTTTCTTCGTCATCACTAAAAACACTATTAATTAACCGAGAGCGTTTTCTTTTTGGCAAGTTATCCTTATCCTCCGAGCATTTTTCTGCATTATTTTCAGATCCATGCTTTACCTTTTGCAAAAAGTATGTAATTTTAGATTGCTTGCTTCTAGTTAAAAGGTCTTTATAAATTTCCTTATATGGTGCAAAGCACTTATGAAGAATAAAGCAAGTATGGAATAAGGGAAAAACATTCGGCAACATCAGAAGCAGAAGCGTTGTGATCTGGCAACATTGAAACAAGTTTCGAGAAGGACCGTATGTGTAACGACAGAAGGTGAGAAGAGAAAATTTACATACTTAAGTACTAATAGTTCACGAAAATTATTATTTTCGTGAACTATTATTACTTAAGTATGTAAAACTTTATTCCATTTCATGCTGTACGACGGTTTTACCCAATTCTCGAACCGTATCAGAGTGAATCCGTGCTATAAAAGTACCGTGTTAGACGGGGGATGGTACCAATTCTCGAACCGTGTTAGAGTGAATCCGTGCTATAGAAGTGCCGTGTTGTACGGGGGTTACCTGTATTTCATTTCTCAAGAATCTATTCAAAGAACAATTACATAATTGTACATGGTTTATGACATTTTAGAGTGTATTGTCAAGGTGTCCCTAATGAGAACATCAGTAACATACTGTATCAGTAAAAGGATCAACATTGCCAGTGTGTGAGTAATTACTTGACTTTTTGGGTATTTTCAACTGTGATAGATAATTTCATAAATTTTAACACTAAGTTCTAATATTCTGATAATTCAACATTGCACAGTTAAATCCATTTCTTGCAATCTTCAGTCATTCACACTCTCAAGAAACATATTGGTTTATTAACCAGCTAATTTAATTATTTTTTTTAATATACTGTATATTTAATATTGTAACAATGCATGCAAGTCCAAAAAGCATCAAATTAAATTTATGAACTTGCATGCATCTTTGTAATTCATAAAGGGAAAATAATTTTTCATTAAGTGCATTTATTAATTTATCAAAAATGGCAGATCAAGCACTTCATTGATAAATGAAAGATGTAAAATGGCACAGTTAAAACTAGAAAACTACAGAGCCACAAGAGAAAGTTAAACAATTTAAAATGAAAGAAATAGACAAAATACATTCATAAACAATTTCCTAGAGAAAAAGAAGAGATCAAGTGAAATTTAGATTTTCATATAAGTTTTGAATGTGATATGAGTAATTTCCCTTGTTCACATTGGTAATGCCAAAAAATGTGTCAATGCACGGTTGTGCTGGTGTGGTGGCATTCAGCATGGAGCTATAGTGTTTACCTTAATTGTTTCACAGAAAATATAAAAGAAAATGAAGATCACAGACCTAGGGTGGAAGGTATACAGGAAAACAGTTCATAAGTACTGACAATTTTGACCTAACAAGACCATATCATATGGATAATCCTATATACTGTGCCTTGAACCTAAAGACTTCAAGTTTCTGCAGCTTGACTTAGCAAGATTTTACTATAAGAAAATGGTATCTACTGTATAATGATAATCTTAATACTTAATCTGTCATATTAAAAATTCAATAATAAATTGAAATCAATACTACTGAAAATTTTTTGTCACTGAAATCTATATCATAGTGCACTTATCATATATTCGGTTAATATTAATATCTGGTGTAAATATTAATGATTAATGAATATAATTATTGATTTACAAATTCTACAAAAACTTCTAATGTAAATTTCGTCTGCATTAATAATAATAATAAAAATAATAATGACTTCCACATAAAGATGGCGGACATGGCCTGATTGACATAGTTAACCTTCACTACAAACAAATACAGTCACTGCAAGTTTTTCTACAGGAAACAAAAAACATCACAATTACATAAAGCAGTAACTCTAGCAGACTCAAATAGCACACCATTAAACTTACACTCACATCATACAGACTTGACACAACACACAAAAAGCATAGACACCATTAAGCAATCGTGGGCTCGAAAGGCACTCCATGGCAGGCATACTTATGACCTGGCCCATGATTTTGTTGACAAAACTGCATCAAACAGCTGGTTAGATCGGGGATGCCTCTTTGGGGAGACGGAAGGATTCATGATTGCCATACAGGATCAGGTCATAAATACTAAAAACTACAGAAAACACATACTCAAAGATACAACACTCACAAATGACACATGCAGAAAATGTCACATCATGCCAGAAACTATACAACACATCACTTCTGGTTGCAAGCTCTTGGCACAGACAGATTACTTACATAGACACAATCAAGTAGCAAATATAATACACCAAGAGCTTGCAAAGAAACACAAATTGGCAGACATCCACGAACCATACTACAAGTATATTCCACAGACAGTATTGGAAAATAACACGCACAAAATGTATTACGACAGAGCCATAATCACAGATAAAACAATTTACCACAACAGACCAGACATCACACTCATTGACAAACACAATAAAATCACATACATTATAGACATAGCCATTCCAAACATTCACAATGTACAAAACACATGCACTGAAAAAATTAGTAAGTACACAGAACTTGCCCAGGAAATAAGGCATCTGTGGAGGATGGATAGGGTGCTTATTGTACTGTACCTGTCGTTCTCTCCTGTACAGGTGTGATACCACACACACTACACAAAAGCCTGGGAACGTTACAATTAAATAGAAATACATACATCACACTACAGAAGGCCACTATATTGAATACATGGCACATTGTTAGGAAATTCCTGAATACAGACACTAACACACTTATTTAATTTTTGTTTTTTGTTGCTATGCCTTGACTCTGGTCCAGCATAGTTCACAGCCACTGGTGTGAACCCAGTAACCCAATATGTCTTATACTATTGTATAAAATTGAAAAATTAAATTCTATATCATCTATACAAACATCCATTAGAAAAACTATGTTCAGCTGAAAAATACTATCTTCTATTTGCTAATAAGGATATATTTTAAAAATTACCATAATTTTTTCTGTGTATTAAAAACTATTATACTGGATAGGTCAATTTTATTAAGAGTATAAAATTTTAATATATAATATGAGAGCTTCCAAATCACATAGCAAATCTTTGCAATAATAAGCATTCTTATTTGTATATAATAAGATAATATTTATGTAATAGAAAATTGATCACACACTAATAGGATCTTAGTGACAAGTCTACATTCATCCACAAATACACAAAATCACCACGAAAATCATTAAATAATTAATTTCAATAATATACAATGCCTTAATTTTTATATACATAAGGTATTTTAGTTATCTTTTCCAATATACTTCGCTAAAAGTTTTAACAATGCTTTTTAATTTACTTCATGTAAAATTACATACAAATAAATTATAAATTTGTTTAAGCAAATAAAATCTTTTTGATCTCCATTTCTTAATAAATAATAATAGTATCAGTTCCTTCTTTATTAAATCAAAAAGAAGAGTTTTAACAGTCCCCGGTACTTTCAATCTTCCTAGAACTAAAGAAGTTTGAATTGGGACTATTTAAAAACTGCTTTTTTGCATTCTTATAACGCAAGAAGTGATGCGACCGACAATATTAATACTTTAATGTCATATTTAAAGATTTTGAAAATTATGTTTGTTAGTCATTAAACTTTAAAAGTTGTGTATCTTTATTTCACACTTAATCAACATAATTCTTGTATATATATTTAATTAAAACAATTTTTTTTTATTAACAAGTGCGAAGTTTTCGTTATAATGGCAAATGCTTTCCGAAAGCACTTTTTATTTAACATTTTGAAGACAAAATTAGACTTATGTATATTGACATATTAGTAGATATACTATAAAGGAGACGTCCTGTAACAACATGCCACGCCATCCATACCCACGTGGCATACTAATCCCGCATCCAATGAGCTTACAATTTTTCGAAAAATAAATAAATTAAGAATTTTTCTATATTAAAAACATGAAAATAATTTAATTTGTATTATTTTATTATTATTATTTCACACACTACACAAAAGCCTGGGAACGTTACAATTAAATAGAAATACATACATCACACTACAGAAGGCCACTATATTGAATACATGGCACATTGTTAGGAAATTCCTGAATACAGACACTAACACACTTATTTAATTTTTGTTTTTTGTTGCTATGCCTTGACTCTGGTCCAGCATAGTTCACAGCCACTGGTGTGAACCCAGTAACCCAATATGTCTTATACTATTGTATAAAATTGAAAAATTAAATTCTATATCATCTATACAAACATCCATTAGAAAAACTATGTTCAGCTGAAAAATACTATCTTCTATTTGCTAATAAGGATATATTTTAAAAATTACCATAATTTTTTCTGTGTATTAAAAACTATTATACTGGATAGGTCAATTTTATTAAGAGTATAAAATTTTAATATATAATATGAGAGCTTCCAAATCACATAGCAAATCTTTGCAATAATAAGCATTCTTATTTGTATATAATAAGATAATATTTATGTAATAGAAAATTGATCACACACTAATAGGATCTTAGTGACAAGTCTACATTCATCCACAAATACACAAAATCACCACGAAAATCATTAAATAATTAATTTCAATAATATACAATGCCTTAATTTTTATATACATAAGGTATTTTAGTTATCTTTTCCAATATACTTCGCTAAAAGTTTTAACAATGCTTTTTAATTTACTTCATGTAAAATTACATACAAATAAATTATAAATTTGTTTAAGCAAATAAAATCTTTTTGATCTCCATTTCTTAATAAATAATAATAGTATCAGTTCCTTCTTTATTAAATCAAAAAGAAGAGTTTTAACAGTCCCCGGTACTTTCAATCTTCCTAGAACTAAAGAAGTTTGAATTGGGACTATTTAAAAACTGCTTTTTTGCATTCTTATAACGCAAGAAGTGATGCGACCGACAATATTAATACTTTAATGTCATATTTAAAGATTTTGAAAATTATGTTTGTTAGTCATTAAACTTTAAAAGTTGTGTATCTTTATTTCACACTTAATCAACATAATTCTTGTATATATATTTAATTAAAACAATTTTTTTTTATTAACAAGTGCGAAGTTTTCGTTATAATGGCAAATGCTTTCCGAAAGCACTTTTTATTTAACATTTTGAAGACAAAATTAGACTTATGTATATTGACATATTAGTAGATATACTATAAAGGAGACGTCCTGTAACAACATGCCACGCCATCCATACCCACGTGGCATACTAATCCCGCATCCAATGAGCTTACAATTTTTCGAAAAATAAATAAATTAAGAATTTTTCTATATTAAAAACATGAAAATAATTAACTTTATCGTATCAAATTACAGAAATATATTTGTTTAAATTTAAAATGCTCAAAGCTGTTTAGAAATAAAACAACTCACTCATTTTGTTTCCTTTTCACTTTAACCGACTCCACACAAAACTATTCGAGCCCTTAAGCCGGGCGATTGTAGCGACCTCTCAAAAGATATCTTACTTTTAAAATGATAAATTTAATTATTTTATTTATTTTTTTTTATTACTTGAATCGTATTCAAAATATAAATGTTGTTTAAAATAATAATAATCTTTAATTTACTTTAAATTTTAAATAATTTTCGACGTTGTCCTTAAATGGATAAAATTTTAAGTGCAATGAAATGGCGGTCGAGACCCGTCCCGGATACGAAAATTAAAAGATGACGACAGATATTTTGGATATCTCACACGTTAACAAATCATGAACGTAGAGTTTTTTATTATTATTATTATTTTCGCCCTGTGGGCACTAACTAAGAGGGCCTCTTTTTAGCAAGCCCATTATGGATTTGGCCATGCCCACAATGGGGAGGCCGGGTGGTGAGGAACTGGGCCCAACGTATCCGGACGGACCACCCTCCGAAAAATTCCTGGGGATTTTTCGACCCGTTCGATTCGATCACGGGTTCCCAGAGCGGAAGGCTGCCACCTTGACCGCTCGGCCATCCGGTCATACATAACTGAGGCTTAGGCCGGGTAGGTCAGGCAGTAAAGAATCATTCTGTAGCTCTGGAAATTCGTTTCCGGATTCCCAGAATGATAGGTTGACATCTTAACCACTTTGCCATTCGCTCTACCTTGATTGGCTTGTAAAACAAGCCCCTTTAATGCTTATAGGAGAACAAATATGCCAATAATAATTTATTCTAAGGTGTAAACTCTTTTATCATTTGTGTTTCCTTTTACATTGACAGCTAGCGGCTAGCCGTTTCAAGTCATTGCGATGCTTGCGGGAACTCGATCGCTTACTCGTGTGGAGGTTTGCCGTAGAAAACAAGTGCGCATGCATGACGTCATTCAACGCATTTAACACGGCCATATTGTATGGAAAGCTTGCGGTACCCAGTTAGCATACATGTATACAGGGGCGGATCTACGTAGAGATTAATAGGGCTTAAGTCCTGAACCCCCAGTGTCAAGGGCCCACAAAATATAAATTATTATCATAAATTTTTAATACTTTTTCATCTTACAATATAATCGAGATGGGTTATAATAACGATAATAATAAGCGCAGAACACAAACGGTTAGGAGTTGAAAGTCGAAATTTGGTACACAGTTAGGGTACATCACGAGAATGTACACTAAGAAGGAATTTTTCGAAATTCCCCTCCGCGGGGGAGTGGGAAAGGATTAAGGATTAACCTGAAAAACTTGGCTTCTACTGTACTATTTTAAATGGAGTTTTTTGCGTTTTTGCGGGAAATCAAACATATTTTGACCCATCTAAAATTTCTCTAATTAGCCTCGGAAGAAGGTGACATAATCTTGCACTCGGTGAAAACGGTTAAGATAGGCTATAATCTAATAATTTTAATCTTCGCTATAGTTACTTTTTGCCCGAGCAACGCTGGGGTCATTTGCTAGTTAATACTGTATTTACTCGAATATAAGATGACTTCGCATATAGGACAAGGTGTGACTTTAAAGATCAGGAGGAAAGGGAAAACAAGGCGAAATAAGGTCACGTTCCTGCAGGAGTTCACCCCGTGTTTTCTTTCAGGTTACGTTCATGAAAAAAGCGGGAAGGAAAAGTCCTATGAATTTTACAACGAAATAAAGTTAGAGAAATATAAACGAAATTCTCGATTAGCATTTCCTTCCTTTTATTCTTGGTCTTTCTGAGTTTTTTCCAACTTCCAGGCCATTTTCTTTTCCTTCCACAAATTGTTGGCATGCTCCATCGTCGCCATTTTGTTTTAGTCGTTACGAAAAAGCGAGGCTGCCGAACTCCCGAGTTGGCTCACTAACTATTGTGAGTGCGCTAATTCGGGAGAGGAGACATGCCAGAACTCCGTTTTCCTCTTCTGTATAAACGGCATCGCCAGTGCGAATTCTGATTCCAAAAGTTCTCTTTCGCCTGTTTTTCCCTATTCTCGCGTCTGTATAAACGTAACCTAAGGCTTGGTTTATTTTCTTTACGGCAGCGCGACACATGGGCGATTCGCCGAGGGGTGTACCTCCCGGGAGGACTTTCTAATGAAAACTGGTCTCTATTTAGCTGTTACTAACGTGAAGAAAAAAAAAAAAACAATTTTATACGAATTTCTCTTGCTGAGACTTTATCACTTTCACCATCTTCGTGTCTAACAATAAACAAGCTTAAACTTTGAACCGAACTCAGAATTCTTATGTTTCTAGCTAAGTAGATATTTGTTAAAATGCTATTATTACCTTCGTGACGGTAATTCTGGAACACATTCTTAATTTATAAATTATGACAATGATCTATACCGTCGATTCTACGTCTAGGAAGACGAGGCACTTGTCTGGGGCTTTTGAGGAGAACAATAAATCTTGGCTAGCAACACGAAACAATATATTGGGCGGAGAACCAGGTATATCGATGTTCGTCCCTCAACTTTCGTTCATCTCCAATACAATGGGCAATTTCGTGGACAACTTCGCCTCAAATCTACGTCATTTGGTCATTTAGCCAATCAGTTTGAATATAATGCCAATTTTGTATAATTTTCCATTTCGTGTAAGAACAATCGTTTAATGAATTAATTTAAATTAACAATGCTGGAAGAGATTATTAAATTACATTTTAGACATTAAAAAAATTAAATGATTTACATAGCTCCGTTTACTAATTTTGTTCTAAAGAGGAACGTGTACCAGAGTAATGAGTAATTATTGCTTTAGATTTCCATTACTTTGTCGTAGCAGGGCAACGGACATCAAGTATTAGCATAGATATCCAATCCTCTTTTACAAAGTTGAAATATCCCATTTTACAAAATAGATATAATGTCAAACTCTCCTTTGACTAATCAAAAATACAGTGTGTTCGAAAAGTCTAGAAAAAATAATAAAACTATTTCTGCTGATGTCAATCCCATGTTTCCAATGAAGCATGCTACAGTGACTCAGAAATCGCGTGGAGCTTAGGAATGGACACTCGGAGCCATATTGTAAATGGGAGTAGAAATAGAATAAGCAATAATATTTCTCAAACAGTTCGTAAAGCAAAGAAATGCAAATATCAATAGCTATTACATTGATATGAACTCTCCCATTGACATTCAACGAACATAATCCAAAGCAGAGGTTCTGAATGAATGTGCCGCGTACTTCTCATAAAGGTATCATAAAATTTCAAAAACTAATTGTGAGGGACGAACAGACCCTTAATAAAGTGTTATTTTAAATTCGAGCGTTAGGCTAAAAGCCATAAAATTTATTTCCCACGGAGTTGGTTCCTTGTTGAGGTGGATCCAACTAGTCAGCGATGTGTCACCCGGAACTTTCGATAGAGGGCCCATATTGGACGACAGACCCTTAACAACAACCACTTGACCTCATGGAAAAAACCCAAGAGGAATAACGAGGGAGAACGGAAAAAACTCCCGAAGTCAGTCGTCTTCCAACGTCCGTCCACCAAAGTCGTTCTCCCGGATTAATATCAGGATTAATTCCGTGCTTCTTTAAGGATATCATCCTGACTTTCGGCCTCCTGTTAACGGACAAGATCCGGAATCATTCTATCGAACATTCCATCGGCGTCAACAGTGTCATCTGACCACAGATCTTCGACCCAAAAGAAAGGTATTTATCAACCCGCGATTCGTTTGTAAACTCTCTCTCTCGAACGGCCTAGTATAATTAGGGGCTATGACAGAACTCGAATATATCTGTATTTTCTTTAGTACTTATTAAAATTGTATTTATTTGTTACTATGGAGTCCGAGTGAGTCACTTCCTCGTCTCTCTCTCCTCACCTCTACTCCGAATCCAACCGCTAACCCGCTACCTCTCGCGTGACGTAACGTCGCGATTTCCGAGTCCTGCGAGACTCGGTGGTGTCACATCCTGACGTGGTGTCGAAGAGACACCGACCCTATAGTCACATAATTTTAAAATTCTAATTTTATGTCTACTTCTTAATTAATATTTGTATATAAATATAATTGAAAATCTTNACTTAGCGCCTGGAGCGGCTGCTCCGTTCGCCCTATGGTAGGGCCGGCTCTGGTCACGTTCCTACAGGAGTTCACCCCGTGTTTTCTTTCAGGTTACGTTCATGAAAAAAGCGGGAAGGAAAAGTCCTATGAATTTTACAACGAAATAAAGTTAGAGAAATATAAACGAAATTCTCGATTAGCATTTCCTTCCTTTTATTCTTGGTCTTTCTGAGTTTTTTCCAACTTCCAGGCCATTTTCTTTTCCTTCCACAAATTGTCGGCATGCTCCATCGTCGCCATTTTGTTTTAGTCGTTACGAAAAAGCGAGGCTGCCGAACTCCCGAGTTGGCTCACTAACTATTGTGAGTGGGCTAATTCGGGAGAGGAGACATGCCAGAACTCCGTTATCCTCTTCTGTATAAACGGCATCGCGAGTGCGAATTCTGATTCCAAAGTTCTTTTCCGCCTGTTTTTCCTTATTCTCGCGTCTGTATAAACGCAACCTAAGGCTTGGTTTATTTTCTTTACGGCAGCGCGACACATGGGCGATTTGTCGAGGGATGTACTGTACCTCCCGGGAGGTCTTTCTAATGAAAACTGGTCTCTATTTAGCTGTTACTAACGTGAAGAAAAAAAAAAAAACAATTTTATACGAATTTCTCTTGCTGAGACTTTATCACTTTCACCATCTTCTTGTCTAACAATAAACAAGCTTAAACTTTGAACCGAACTCAGAATTCTTATGTTTCTAGCTAAGTAGATATTTGTTAAAATGCTATTATTACCTTCGTGACGGTAATTCTGGAACACATTCTTAATTTATAAATTATGACAATGATCTATACCGTCGATTCTACGTCTAGGAAGACGAGGCACTTGTCTGGGGCTTTTGAGGAGGACAATAAATCTTGGCTAGCAACACGAAACAATATATTGGGCGGAGAACCAGGTATATCGATGTTCGTCCCTCAACTTTCCTTCATCTCCAATACAATGGGCAATTTCGTGGACAACTTCGCCTCAAATCTACGTCATTTGGTCATTTAGCCAATCAGTTTGAATATAATGCCAATTTTGTATAATTTTCCATTTCGTGTAAGAACAATCGTTTAATGAATTAATTTAAATTAACAATGCTGGAAGAGATTATTAAATTACATTTTAGACATTAAAAAAATTAAATGATTTACATAGCTCCGTTTACTAATTTTGTTCTAAAGAGGAACGTGTACCAGAGTAATGAGTAATTATTGCTTTAGATTTCCATTACTTTGTCGTAGCAGGGCAACGGACATCAAGTATTAGCATAGATATCCAATCCTCTTTTACAAAGTTGAAATATCCCATTTTACAAAATAGATATAATGTCAAACTCTCCTTTGACTAATCAAAAATACAGTGTGTTCGAAAAGTCTAGAAAAAATAATAAAACTATTTCTGCTGATGTCAATCCCATGTTTCCAATGAAGCATGCTACAGTGACTCAGAAATCGCGTGGAGCTTAGGAATGGACACTCGGAGCCATATTGTAAATGGGAGTAGAAATAGAATAAGCAATAATATTTCTCAAACAGTTCGTAAAGCAAAGAAATGCAAATATCAATAGCTATTACATTGATATGAACTCTCCCATTGACATTCAACGAACATAATCCAAAGCAGAGGTTCTGAATGAATGTGCCGCGTACTTCTCATAAAGGTATCATAAAATTTCAAAAACTAATTGTGAGGGACGAACAGACCCTTAATAAAGTGTTATTTTAAATTCGAGCGTTAGGCTAAAAGCCATAAAATTTATTTCCCACGGAGTTGGTTCCTTGTTGAGGTGGATCCAACTAGTCAGCGATGTGTCACCCGGAACTTTCGATAGAGGGCCCATATTGGACGACAGACCCTTAACAACAACCACTTGACCTCATGGAAAAAACCCAAGAGGAATAACGAGGGAGAACGGAAAAAACTCCCGAAGTCAGTCGTCTTCCAACGTCCGTCCACCAAAGTCGTTCTCCCGGATTAATATCAGGATTAATTCCGTGCTTCTTTAAGGATATCATCCTGACTTTCGGCCTCCTGTTAACGGACAAGATCCGGAATCATTCTATCGAACATTCCATCGGCGTCAACAGTGTCATCTGACCACAGATCTTCGACCCAAAAGAAAGGTATTTATCAACCCGCGATTCGTTTGTAAACTCTCTCTCTCGAACGGCCTAGTATAATTAGGGGCTATGACAGAACTCGAATATATCTGTATTTTCTTTAGTACTTATTAAAATTGTATTTATTTGTTACTATGGAGTCCGAGTGAGTCACTTCCTCGTCTCTCTCCTCACCTCTACTCCGAATCCAACCGCTCACCCGCTACCGCTCGCGTGACGTAACGTCGCGATTTCCGAGTCCTGCGAGACTCGGTGGTGTCACATCCTGACGTGGTGTCGAAGAGACACCGACCCTACGGTCACATAATTTTAAAATTCTAATTTTATGTCTACTTCTTAATTAATATTTGTATATAAATATAATTGAAAATCTTCAATATCACTCGTTATTTATACATATAAGAACATCTTTGATGTGACGCTGGCTTCTGCGTGTACCACCAAAAATTGAGAGAGACAATAGTTCATTACATCTTTTCTTTTAAATTCTTTCCGCTTTGTGGACTCTAAGAAGGCCTTTTTATCAAGCCCACGATGAATTCGGCCGGGCCCATACAATGGAGTGCCCAGGCGATGGGTTCGACTCCCCGAAAAAATCCTGGGGTTTTTCGATCCGACCGGATTAGTTTTTTGCAAGAGCAATTCTGTAAGTTCCTGCAATCAGTTTTTTGCAAGAGCAATTTACAGTATTTACAATTTCCCTCATACTTTATTAATAAAAATAGATTTCTAATGCATATAAAGCAATTAATGTATTCCAGGAGTTACTCGATTTCTTTTATCAATATTGTATCATTTTATTTTCTTTTGTTATGTACAGTATACTTCAATTTATTGCTGTCGGGACGACTCAGAAATCGACGAACAGAAAAATAAATGGAATGAATAGTTTTTAAGGCCTTGAATGTCTTGAAGCCTGTGCCAAATAGGCTCGATAGCTGGCGATAGGGTCTGAATGTTGACATATTTATTACTCATTTCTAGTCTGTTTTACGATGAAAATTGTATAGTATTTTCTTTACACGTTATCGTTAATATTAATACAGTTTTTCAATCACATTTTACTTTAAAATATTCACTGCATCACTTACAAAATTTAATCGAATTTATTTAACCATCATTAGTTTATTTTCCCCCTCTTTTGAGAATTCTCGGAAACCTTTAGACAGACTAACAAACAAAAAAAATTTCTAGAAACTGATTTTCTATTTATATTCTTCTCGGAAACTCCAATGAGAATTGTCTGGAAAAATCTTTATCTGCCTCACCGTCCGACTGTATGTCTGTCTGTAGATTTCTCTCGTAAATTATGAATACTGACATATTAGATTTTTTTTTAAAAAATCGCTTTAACACAGTCTAAATTTTATATGAATTAATGAGTAAATTATTAGATAATTCTATTTTTACATATAAGACCAGAAAAAAACAGAAATCTGTGAAGATGTTGATTTAATAAAGGGCCATTTACTCAATGCGTAACTCATTGAGTAAATAGCAGTGTGTACAATAAATTGAATGATGTAGTGTCGTGAGCGATAAATAAGTTTTGATGACAAGAACAATTGGGAAGAGATCTTTTCTCTTTTATTTTCTCAGATGGAAATAACAATAAAGTCTAGGTACAAATGGTACAATCGTTCAGTAAAAAGTTAAAACAGAAAAATTTTTAAAAGAAGTGAATATTAAATACTGATGTTCTTCTTCATTTCTTTTGGGAAAAATTGTCAGCAAAAAATCCTTCAACAATAAAATATCTTAGTAGAAAAATCCTCGTGTTGAGATGTGAATAAGGAAAATGTCTCGTCAACACTGAGAAATCTAACATCAAAAACGAACGAATGTAGCGATTCGCTCGCTTTCTCTTCGAGGAATTCTAATTTCTAACATTCTAATGTCGCCAACTGACAGGAAAACATAAAAACTGTTAACAGGATCTATTACGATATACTAACAGCTTGATGCGAAGAACCTCAGGAACTTCTAACCAAATGCAAGAAGGAGGATTCTCCATCGGTGACAGCACATGAAAAACGTCTTCAACAATGTGTTTTTTTTTAAAGTGCAAATTCCAAACAGACTATACGCAAAAAAACGGATATCAATAATTCTCCGATATATATATATTATATATATGTACTTTATATATATATATATTCATTTATATATTAAATACCGTATATTTATTTATTGTATATAACATGAATCACAGACAAATTTTGGGTCGCACCTACAGGTTTGGCCAACTTTAAAATCGACCTGGGACGCGTTTTCCGATATTCTAACATTCTGGATGACATGAAAAATTCAAACATAAACAGCAAAAAGGCCTCGTCAAAACAGCTCCTCGAACAGCCTGTAAAGTGCATGTATATATATCCTTGCAGGAGCACCTGTAAACTAGTGCAATCCCACCATTTTTTCGTTTTTTTTTTCGTTTTTTTTTCCAAAAACAGAAACGTCCAAAAAATGCCGAAGGAAAAACGAAACTTTTGTTTAAAGCTCTCGATATAAGTTAAACCAGAAGAGATTTTCCATGAACATCTCGAGGTGTTCCTAATAATTCTTCCAAAATCCAACCAGCGACCAGAGCGCCTACTTCTTTGCTGTTTTGTAAAACGAAAGAGTGTTCGAAATTATGACGACACAGTCGAATGTCACCTTGTGGAAAGACTTCGCGTAAATCCTGATAATAAGATAAAGGACACCATTGGTCTTTGACGCCATAATAGAAAGTGAGTCGAAAGAGATTGTCCTGAATATTGTCGACATCTAAAGTCGTAACATTGTCTAATTCGTCTTTACCCATAAACATGCATATTCGGACGCATTCAGGTTGGAAGAGATTCATACTGGCTCTCAAAACGCAATCGGGGACTGGTTTATCTCGAAAATACCATAACAATAATCGCCATTGTAGTTGAGGATTGAGGTAACTCAGAGCATAGACACTAAGTATAGCTGGTAGACGAAAATAATTAAGAATGGGCCATATCCATTGGCCTTGTGGACTCGTCGACAACCGCTCGATAGTTGGAAACAACAAGATGCTCTTTACTATCTACAAAAATATGTATAATTTAGAAATATTTTTACGTATTTAAAGAAAATTTCCATTACCTTTAAATTCGTCATCCGTTTTAGGATTTCTAGCACCACGTAACATCCGATTGAATGACCAATTAAAACAATTTGACGATCCTTTGGTACAAACATGTTTATAAAAGCTACTTTATGGGATATTTGGCCTTCCAAGTTATACAAATCGTCGTTACCTGCGGAATAAATAAGCGTATTCTTATAACAAAAAAACATAATTACGAGATAAAAAAAAAACTGAAGCCAACCTTGCAATTTTGGCAATTGTTGTCCAGAGGGAGGTGCCACGTGTCCAGCATGAGAAATTCCCCAAATTGGTACTGTTCTTTGGAGTCCTTCGTACAAGGCACTCACAAATTCCTCGTAATATTCTACCGCACCGGGATTACCTATTAAAAATTTACATTTAAATGTTATAATTGTAAGAATAATTCCATTGTGACAATGCAAAATATTTCGTTAGTATTTATAAAATGAAAATATGTTACAATTACGGTAAGTAGTAATTTTCATTAACATTTCGTTACGTAAACAGAATGTGATCAGATGGCCTAAACGAGTTACAAACGAGGAGTTATTTAACCCAAGCATTAAGCTACAACAATAGAGGAACTTTTAAATTTTGAAGTTCCTCTGTGTTTGACCTGGTTTTAGTTAAACAGCCGCCTGACTATCAGCATAACCATATCTTCAAAGGGAAAACTATCATAGCCTCAATTAAAGAGAAAATAGTTCGTAAAGCCTTTTGTTTTTTACTATTTCCACACTAAGGCGGCTTTCTTTCAGGTTCACAATGAAGGATCAGGATGGTGAAAGGCGGAGCCTGATATATCCCGGAGAGATCATCATCCAAAAAATCCCTGGGGTTGCTCACCCGAATTTAATTCCAAGACCCTCAGAGCAATGTACTGAAGACTTTTAAAATCTTTCCTCGAATACGCGTGTAAAAAAAAAAGTGTCTTATTTTAAATTTCTGAAAGATTTGCCCTTAAATTTCTTTAATTTTTTGCAGAAAATTAAAGAACTTTATTAAGAAATTTGCAGCAAGATGCCATATTTATCGTAATTAATTATATAAATCCTAATAATAAAATTTACTGTTCTAAACTAAAAATATATTAAATTTCGATCGAATTATTATCCTCAGTCACTTTAATTAGGTTAAAATTTCATATAACTCGGGTAATACATTCGAGTGTGAATGAAATATTGCAGGTAAGTCACTTTACGACCTTCTTGATATTTCATTCACACCAGTTCAGAATATAAATTCACTCACATTAAACTTAATTGAAAATCAGTGAATTAAACACAAATTAACGTGTTAATTAACACTCAAGGAATTTAATTAGGTTTTTTTTTTTTAAAAAAAATGCAAATTCGGTCTTCAATTTTCTCTATTTTTTGGCATCTTAGAAGAACCCACTTTGAAAAATTCATTTAGCGAGCGGTTTTCTAATTATTAAAGAGAGTAAAGGTATAATAAGTGAAGAAAACATTTACTTAATCGGTGTAAAATGTAAACCACGATTATTAAATCCCGTTGATAACGTAGGATTAACTTTATTTACACAAATGGCATTAAGTCAACTCTGTGATCGAATTGTGTCGCTCTTCTTTCATTTGCATATGGAAAACGTTAAGAAAATTACTTTAATCTAAGTAAAGTTTAATGCGAAATTCGAAATAATAGTGGAAGTGAGGTGAATTTATAATCATAAATTTGATACCTGGAATAAATAAGATGAGCATCTTATCATTATCGGGTAAGGTTTCGTCGATCCATCTTCCACAAGTGATGCAATGAGTGGGAACTCCATTGACGACAACAAAACCTTGTTTCAAAAACTGCAAATCGTTAGCTGGACTGTAGGGTATATCCACCATCTTTTTAATACATCAGTTTATTGCTTTTGCCTACGAAAGAATAATCATTAAATCTCGACGTTAAATCTACAATCTTTCTAAAATTAGCTCGTAATGGGTTTTAATGCATTATTAATGATCGTATCATCGATGGTGATCCGTTCCGAATGCCATCAAAACTACAATTATAATTAATATGTTTATTTTGATAATTGTCAAAATTTAAGGTAAATTATCTCTCTTGGTGCCATCGTTGAACATTTTTTTTTTTTTTCTTCTTTAGTCGGAGGGGTGTAGTAAAATAAATCCAATAAAAGTACTCTTCTTGAATTGATTTGTTTGGTACGCACTACCCAAACAATTATGGCGACGTTGAAAGTGCTATAAATCACCGAAATAACGTATAATTTTTGGTGGAAAGCAAAAGAATGAAATAAATCATTACTTTTCGTGTGTTTTCGGATAAGTTATCTAGCAGTTTGGATCGTTAACTGAACTCAAGAGTATATGTGCTTTCGACAAAACTGACAAATACCATCGTACAGTCAATAGACAGAACGATAACTCTGCTCTCATATACGACAATAAAACCGCTCTAGTAAATTCGAAATATTTTTCAAAAAAAAAAAAAATCGAGAAAAACTAATTTTTATCCCGCTGTTTTCTTAATAGGGCGATAAATCTCTGTCAGTAAAAATAAGGTACATCATACTCACGCATGCATCTCGAGTAACAAAAAAATATTATAATTTTCCAATGTCTTCACGCTTATTTCTTTTATGTTTATAAAGTTGTAGAAAATCAAACAGGCATTAAAATAAATCAATTTTGAAACCTTATATTTGATAAGAAATGATCACGAATGGCGGAAAAAAACACCAGATTTGTCAATTTATACTAGATGATATTCATTTCTGGAGTCGTGTGTCACATAAAAATGACATATCGAAAATTGAACAGTCGCGACATAATGTAGACTACCGGAATTCCGATGTTTTCCACTGGTCCTCAAAAGGTTAAAAACGGAAAATTTCCAATATATTCTAACAGTGACACCGAGTCGTCTAATGTCATTTATTATTTTCTCTCTTCTCGGTCGATTATCTGTCATGTTTCCAATTTATAACACTTCTTTTTTTTTTTTTTCCTACTCCTCAACAGTAACACCGTGTAACTTTACATAACCGAAAATACTTATCGAATCGTAAAATTATCGGTTAATAATAATAAACCAACATGAAGTATAATCTGAAATGTTTTTCGAGCATTCTACTGGATATAAAAATAACAGATTAGTTACCAAAATTGCTTAGATAGCACTTTGATAGTGTTAAATCCACACGGATGGTTCTTTTGGGAGTCAAAACGGCTGGATTAAAACGGTCTTTTCGAGGAGATTTTTTACAATTTAAGCTTTTAATATCTTTTTTCTTAAATTTTAAGCATTATTTATTAATTATCACCAATAAAATTAACATCAGGAGGATTAAAATTGTATATATATATATATATATATATATGCAGTCAAAATTTATCCATAGACTTAAAAAAAAGTTTATGTAAATTAGGGTCCGAAATAAATCTATAAATATATTTTTACACCACTTTTTCTTTTATTAAAAAATACAATTATTTTATATTTTAAACCGATAAATAAATAAATTATAAGGTAAAATTTCAACAGTTTATTCCTAAACAAATATTTGATGTTAGAAACCACATTATAAAAACTTCTAAAGGTAAATCTAATAGAGATGGAAGCATGATAAATATTAATGAATATAGATTTCCATTGGTGTATACCTTATGCATAACAATTGCGAAAAATGGTGCAGCGTTTTATAGAGAAAAATCATTGCCATAAACTGTTATAGTGGCATAAAAACTGTTGATTTATTGTTATAGGCAGTTAACATACAAGCTAAAATCGAGTTTGAAAACACTCTACTCTTAACGTTTTCTCATTCAAACTCTCGTAAAAATCTAACCCAGTGTGTGTGTGTTTTTTAAGTAACATATTTATATAATTTTATTAAATATGGATGATCAATTTTTAAGGATCCTTCCTTGTTAATTATATCCGGTACTTTAACGTCACATTGCTATTTATTTTGTAACATTCTAAAACTTTTTAAGTGATATCGATTTGCAGCTGCATACAAATGAGTCACTTTGACAGAAGTCAGTATCCTTTTTTAAAGTAATTACTTGTTTTTTTTTTTTTTATGTATGTATAAATTTAAATTTTCTATATACAACCGCTTGAAAACCTTGACACGTTTACTTGTATTATATTCTCTAACAATTGAAAAATTTTTAAAGTATTCCCACACTAAAACTTTGATACAGTAAAGCTAAGTCTGTAGAGTAAGTTATACGCTAATAATACGTTTTCTATTTAATTGTACGTTTAGAATTTAAAACGGTTAAAAAAAAAAAAAAACAAATAAGAGAAGAGAATTATGTTTAAATTAAGATTAGAAGTGATACTAACCGTAGATAAAGCATAACGCATAGGATTGGATGGTTTTAGCCGATACTATAAAGCGGATAAAGGAAATAATTACTCACAGTTAACACGTGGGGTGTAAAAGATGTAAGCAGGTAATGCAAGAAAGGCAGTTAATGAGATATGTGAGGAGGAAGGAATGGCCGGCTGCAAGTACGAAGAGGTAGCGACTGGGAGAGAGAATTCGGATCGATATACTGTGCATTATCAGTCAGCAAGCTATGGGCTGACCCACTGTGCGGAGGTTGTGTCTGCATGGAGGGGAAAGAACACTTTACAGGCTGAACTCAACAGCCTTGGTTATATAAAATATCAGTTTCGTCATCTGGCGACGGTTTGTAGGTATATCTACATTATTAAAATTAATTATGGTGAAGTTAGAAACACGGAAACATGTTTTTTTTTTTTTTTTTTCCGTGACAGTGCTTCTGCAATGTCATTCAAANATATACTGCTACAACATTGATTATCACTAGAAATAGAATTTACTAAATTAAAACGAATGTATGAAATAGTAAGTTAATTTAATTTAATAACGCCGTTTTCGTTGATGAAAAATATTTAGAGCGGTCGAAGGACTCTCTGAAAATTCTTCGGTGGCACAAATCTCCCGTTAAAGCGATTAAATATATATATATATATAAAGTTATTTTTTTAAGAGCTCGACGGGGTGGTCGGTGACTCATGTAAAGCCGTCATACAGTACTTTTGTAAGAATTACTCTAACTACATTGAGAGTCATAATTATTTGATTTAATCATGCGGAGAAACTTACTATAAAAAGTAATAGGAAATTTATATATATATATATAATGTAAGAGACATTTGAGATTTTTATTTTTTACTGTAGAAATACACCCGTTTTGCTATTGAAATTCTCAAGGGATTATAGAACTAGGGACAGATCTCTTCAATTTATAATAGGAAGAGTGATGAATTGATGCTGTTTAGTGGATTGAAATTTATATACTGTCGATAGGAAATATAAAACATTTAAACTTATTAAAAAAAAACTATTTTTGTAAAATTAATACATTATTACAATACATAATTTAAATTTTTTTTTTTTAAACTTACAAAAAATATTTTCCAATTTAAAAAAAATAACTTAAATTACATCCACTTAACTTATGTTAATTCCTATTTTGGATAGTAATTAATATAAGTTAAATACAAGTAGTTTGAAATTTATACTTACCTTAAACAATATCCAGTTATTTTATTAAATCCAAATAAAATAAAATATTTAGAACACCGAAGAAAAAAAAAAAATAAATGTTTAAAATCTTTACTTAAATCTTAATGACCTCCAAAAAACAATTATATATTTAAATAAAAACATTTACATGTTTTCCTGTTATATTTATAGTTCTAAAAAAAATGTCCTTTCACAAGTATAATCATATATAGATGTTCCCTTCACCATTTTTTCTTTTGCATAAATGTTTATAAACTTTGTAATATTAAAACAAATATAGATGTAAACTTTATAAAGTTTAGAATTAAGTTATTTATTTATATTTTGTGATTTCCATACATGATTTTGAATAATGTCATCTGACTTTTTATATTTATTTTTCAAATTATTATTATTATTGCAATAAAAAAAAACTGGAAGATCATTTTTTACAAATAAAATATGTATTTTTTATTATAGTAAACAGGAAAATAAAAATTATTTCTATAATGACAAGATTATATATGGAAAAATATTTTAATTTAAGAACTGGAGTCTAAAGAAATGATTAAATACAGTAATAATCTTATCAAATTTAAATTATTATTTTGATATTTATAAAAAGTATTATATGTTATTTTATTTTTAAAGTAATGTTGATTATTAATATAATGAAAAAAAAAAAGATAAAATAAACAGATGAAATATGGCATTGTTTTTTAGTTAAAAAAATTTATGTAATAACCATCATTGATTACTTAAAATCAGTGTTATAAAGCAACTTTTGTAAGATTAAATAATTGCAGTTTATATATACAAGCGCAGATAATTTAGGGCCTTATGCTTTGTGTAGTATACAGAATCTAGTATTAGCAAAGATCCATGCCTTGATGTAAGTATTATATTCTGTGATATAAGCTTTATAAAAACTTACATAAAAAAATTATCAAGTACTAAGTAACCAAGGGCTGCTGACACGGGCGTAGCCAGGAAGGGACATGGGTGGGCACGGACCCCCCCAGTTAATCTGGTGCTCTCCCCAGAAAATCACAGCCGAAAAAGTGTTGAGCCGATTTGCAAAGAGAAATAAAAAGTTGAAGTTAATTTAATTGGGTGTAGTGTACCACGGCCCGCAATTAATCTCTGAATATTGGACTGAACTTCAAATAATTGGTTGAATGGATCTGCGATAATTCTCCACAACCTGACAATGTGAAGTTATAGGAAAGTTGAGAAGTTCCAATCCTAAAGAAAAAAAAAGGTCAACAGCTTTGTGTGCCTAATGTGAAAAATGTATCTATAATCTCTATGTACAGTTTAGTCTCTACGCCACAATAAGATCTCGCATCACCTGAAAATCTTGCTAGGACCGCCTCTGGTTCGGGCAGTGGAAAAAGTTTTCTTTCCAATTCAGCCCGGAGGAAAAAACTGTTGGCCACTCCTGGTCTATATCTAGATTAAAGACGGTGAACTATACTAAAGAATGGTAAAAAAAAAAATAATTGATTGGTTAATTTTTGTTTAAGGCATTGCTAGAGTTTGATATTAAAGTTACGAGAACGTATGATTAAGGGAAGTTTCATATTTTGTATGTGTTAAGTTATTGTTGATTCTTATGGAAATACTCTGGCTATGCACATGGCTGCTGACAATTGTACATATCTCATATGTATGTTAACAGAGATTTTTTTCAGCACTTCTGAGGCCTCTATCCCAATTCCTTTAAATGGCATTATATGGATACAAAGCAAAAATATTAGTAATGAGTGATAAGACAAAGACCCTGACCATGGCTAGCTAAGCCCATGCATTAATGCAACTGTATGTGTTTGGTGTAGCAGAGGAAGAGAATGCTTGTATATCATCAAAGTAAAAATCCTTGGTAATACTAGATTCTTAATATTGCACACAGATCAGATATTACAAGCATGTACATGTGTGTATCAGGTTCCCAAAAGCACACAGTCCTAGCAAAAGCCTAAATCATCTATACTTGAAACAGCATCTTCAGCTTTACAGCAAATATTATTTCAAAAATGGTAAATAAAACTTTATGAAGCAATCAATTATTCACTTTACAGAAAAAAAAATGTTAATACATTTCTGTCCGATTTTTGAAAACAACTGGGTTAGAGAAAAATTCTAATTTGAAATCAGTTTACTATTTCAACATTAACTAGTACATATTTCATTATTTATTAGTTTAGGACAGGTTATGTTTAGTTAACTGACATTTAAAGAAAAATTAAATATACAAGAGATGCTCAAAGTGATTACAGAACCTTCACTAGCTTCACATACTATATTTAACAGAATTATGATATAAAGCATAGATGAACAACTTCAGTGTTGCTTTGGGCTATATATTAGGTTAAATTATTTTAAAACAGCCACAGTATTATAGCTAAAATGTGGCTCTTGTAGATATTAAATAAATATTCATACGCAAATACAACAATACAAAACTTTGTTAAATTTATTATATGGTTTCAAATTAAAATAATTATAATTATACTTGGATAGCAAATTAACACGAAATTTTTTTTAACTAAAATTAATTGACAGGCTACATATTATGTTTTCACGTTATAAAATATGTAATGTCTTATATATAAATAGAATTACTTTAAATGTTTGAAAAATATATAACAAATTTTTATTTAAAAAATTTAAAGAAACATACTAAACTGAAAGTAAATTGTAAGAATATGTTTAATTAGAATAAATGGTAATGGGTGCCATTTACAAAATTGTTCAGATAAACAATGAAAATATATATAATTAAAAGTTTTTTTAATGTCTTAAATGTAATTTACTATTTAAATATATTATTACACAGTTAAATAATATAATTAAATCTTTGAATTAGATATTTTAAAAACAAAATAATGAAAATTCAATTACACAAAGTATAACTGCACTAGAAAGTTTTGTCAACAATTGCATTATCAACTCTGAAATTTTGAAATTTAAGAGTTGATATGCCAATATATGTACTAGACCTAGACTATACATATAATTAATGGCTAAGTAAGAATTCAAACTATATAATCTAAAATTTGCTAATTTAAATTAATTAATTAATGAATGATTTACATTTATTTATTTTTCCAGACTAGCTGAAATCCATAAAAAATGATAGAAAATGAGAGAGAGAATTATAAAACAGTATTGGAAAATTAAAAATAAGTCACCAAAATTATGAGGATAGCACAACATTTGTTTGTTTATAATTATCTTTAGTACATTATTGACGTTTTANACAAACGTTCACATTTCATTATTTATTAGTTTAGGACAGGTTATGTTTAGTTAACTGACATTTAAAGAAAAATTAAATATACAAGAGATGCTCAAAGTGATTACAGAACCTTCACTAGCTTCACATACTATATTTAACAGAATTATGATATAAAGCATAGATGAACAACTTCAGTGTTGCTTTGGGCTATATATTAGGTTAAATTATTTTAAAACAGCCACAGTATTATAGCTAAAATGTGGCTCTTGTAGATATTAAATAAATATTCATACGCAAATACAACAATACAAAACTTTGTTAAATTTATTATATGGTTTCAAATTAAAATAATTATAATTATACTTGGATAGCAAATTAACACGAAATTTTTTTTAACTAAAATTAATTGACAGGCTACATATTATGTTTTCACGTTATAAAATATGTAATGTCTTATATATAAATAGAATTACTTTAAATGTTTGAAAAATATATAACAAATTTTTATTTAAAAAGTTTAAAGAAACATACTAAACTGAAAGTAAATTGTAAGAATATGTTTAATTAGAATAAATGGTAATGGGTGCCATTTACAAAATTGTTCAGATAAACAATGAAAATATATATAATTAAAAGTTTTTTTAATGTCTTAAATGTAATTTACTATTTAAATATATTATTACACAGTTAAATAATATAATTAAATCTTTGAATTAGATATTTTAAAAACAAAATAATGAAAATTCAATTACACAAAGTATAACTGCACTAGAAAGTTTTGTCAACAATTGCATTATCAACTCTGAAATTTTGAAATTTAAGAGTTGATATGCCAATATATGTACTAGACCTAGACTATACATATAATTAATGGCTAAGTAAGAATTCAAACTATATAATCTAAAATTTGCTAATTTAAATTAAT